TATGTGGATTAACTCTCTGTAAGCTAGTTAAAAGGTCTATCGAGAGAGAGAGAGAGGCTATTCAGAATTGACGTGGCAATGCACCCGTGCAGTCAGAACCTCTGGCAGCTGTGATGTGAATTTCTCCGGCGGATACTTGTAATACACATCAGTGTTTGACATCAAAACTCCTGCTCGTCCCGTGTCTCCTTCATGAGTCGGTGACTCCCACTGCATTGCTACACAGAAGTTTCCTCCATAGTGAGCATTGTGTTGCCATGGCAATGGCATGTCCCGTAGATGTCTTCATGGCTAGACTGTTAGCACACGTGAAGTTTGAGCACTTTGACCATTTTCATAGGAGTTATAGCAATATCGTGCTTTATTGCAAGGCATGCGTTGCCATGGCAACAGCTTTTGAAGAAAACTCACTAATGGCACATAGACATGTTAAGGACTGGACCATTAACTGTCATCTGAAGTCTGGTGGTGTTTGGACCATTTGCATAGGTATCATGACAACATCGTGTTTTATGGTGAGGGATGCGTTTCCATGGATCTCAGATTTGTCGTAGAGCTGTTGAGGCATGGACCAGTGATATACAAGCGAAATTTGGGGGCGATCGGACCATGTCCATTGGAGTTAAAGCGACATTGTGTTTCATGGCGAGGGATGTGTTTCCATGGAAACGGCATATGATGACACCCCATAATTGACATAGAGCTGTTGAGGGCCGGACCATTAACCATTATCTGAAGTCTGGTGCTGTTTTAGACCATTTGGTATCACGACAACATCGTGTTTTAAGGCGAGGGATGCGTTTCCATGGAAACGGCACATAGTGAGATCTCAGATTTGGCGTAGAGCTGTTGAAGGCATGGACCGGTGATATACAAGTGAAGATTCGGGGACGATTTAACCGTGTCCATTGGAGTTACAGCGACATCGTGTTTCATGGCGAGTGGTCTGTCGCCATGGCAACGGCATTTGATGACATGCCATAATACGCTTAGATGCGTTGATGGCTGCATCGTTACCAAACCTGTGAAGTTTTGGGCCGTTTGGAGCATTTTCACTGAAGTTATGAGAAAACCGTGTTTCATGGCGAGCATTGTGTTGCCATGGCAACGGCATTAAAAGAAACCCCATCATTGATGTAGAGCTGTTGAGGGCTGGACCGCTGATGTACGAGCGAAGTTTAGGGGGCGATCGGACCGTGTCCATTGGACTTACAGCGACATCGTGCTTCATGGCGAGTGGTCTGTCGCCATGGCAACGACATTTGATGACACACCATAATACGCTTAGATGCGTTGATGGCTGTATCGTTACCAAACCTGTCAATGTGACATTATTGTGTTCCATTACACAGGTGTTTATATGTGAACTAACGAGGCGTCCAGAGATCACAGGTTTCCATTGTTCTGAATGAGAGATGAACCTCTTACATGTGAACGTTTTGTGGAAGAACCGTAACAGATATCCGTGAAATTTCAAAACGTGAAGCATGTCAAGGAAGTTGAGTATCTGAAGTGTAATTTTTGGTGTAGTTTCGGGTTAATAATGTGGCCTTTTTGGCAGTTTAACTAAAGGCGTGCGGCTGCTGCCGTGAGGAAATATCAGCCTGAAATTACAATGGGCTTTAATGGAGGAATGTTGAAAGTTTTTGTCACTTCATGCCCTCAAGAGGCATTTTGTTGAATTATTTTTTGCTTAATTATTTGTCATTTTTCAAGCTACGAGATGTTTTCCTACATTTGTCATGAAAAATTATGTCTCAGGAATGTAGGGTTTGGGAATTATGGCAGTTTTAAAAAAAATATATGAAAGCAAATTTCAAACTGTCCTCCACTCTAACTCTGACATCACGCACTCTGTCTTAACGAGCTGCGCAATGTTAAAGTTAAAATGTAAAAAATGTGATGAATTATGGGATGTATCTCTGGAATTATGAAAGTTATGAATGAGAAAAATAATAGCCATTGATTCCCGACCGAGCTGAACGTTTTGATGTTTGAACGGAGTTTCTGCGATGTTCAATGCGGGAGGAGAAGAGGGCCAAAATAACAGGCGGAATAATAAACTTTTCGTCCGTAGAATAACAGATAGTTGGAATGCTGTTAACAGCATTCCAACTATCTGATGGCAGACATGTCTGCTCCACCGGAGAAGAGACAATCACAAGTGAGCCGGCCGCTGCCACTGTCTGGTCAAGCACTGGTTGACAAATAAAGTCCCCCGATCGCAGACTGGGGGGACCCATTACTACAGGGGCTTCACAGATCAAGCCATTTTTACCAATGATGCCACAGAATGAGGCCAACTACTGTATCTACGAACCTCCAACATCATATTACGCCAAAGGTTTTGATTGCTGATAAAACTTTACAGCTGTTACCATCATTATTATTACCATGCAGTGGGTAATGTCAGCCCAAATGATGGAAGAAGCTCATTCTGCGACCTGGGATCGTTAAAGGAATATTACACATTGACACATAACGGAAACACTAATACATGTCCTCATCAGTTTTCCTTTGCCAGTCAAAAAAAGTTTTGAATGAGCTAGATATAGATATAACAAAGACTAAAAGGAATCTGCATTTGATGGAATTGAAATGACTAAATGTCCTACACTGCTTATGATGAAGAATCATTCATTAAGGACAAAAGTTCTTCATTCATAATTCAGGCCTAATGTCAGTTACAACCCATTTTTGTTTGTACATGTCACACACGTATTGGTCATTATTTTAGATTTCAAAATAGTGTACAGTACTGCTGACATACTGCACAGAACAAATGAACACATTTCAAAGAGATCAAGAGAAAGAAACATGTGTAACCTGCAGCTCTGATGTTACTACATGCTCATACAGCATCTAAATCATCATCAATGAGTTCTTTGTATTCAAACAAATGAATTGAAGCTTCACAAAACAAACATACACATTCACACCAGGGTTTCCGCTAGGATTTTTTCTCGCCGGTCAAATGTCCGGACAGAATTTATTTTACCGGACAAATTTGAAACTTACCGGTCATGTTTCAATAATAATAATAAGAATTGTGTAGCAGAGTTTCCGTTAGCAGGTAATTACGGATTAGGACCGGATATGCTGATGTTTAAAACTCAGTTAATGGGGATCGTTTTTATATTGCTTCAGTTTATAATCGTTACAGATCAAAAGTTCAGATTCATTTTTCAATAAATGATTCCACAAACAACAAACAACATAATTACTACATTCAAATAAACTACTTGTAGTAGATGAAGTACATTATTCAAATTAACTTTGAATAATAACACGGGAGAAACGGATGCTCTCTTTTCCCCTCTCCCTCCTGACAGCCCGTCAGTTTCTCCTGCAGCTCGCTAAACAGTGGGCGGGGCTTCAGGTGATCATGCAGAGCTGCGTGTCTCCATCAGACTCAGCAGCTGATCTGATCTCTCTCTTGGGTCCGGTTACACTTCACTCGCGTTTATGTCCATATCGATCAGATCCAGCTCTCCTGATCGGCCTTTATAGAGAGCACCGATCAAACTATTAACAGTGAATATCGGCCGATAATGATCGGCGGCTGATCGATCGGAGCATCGGACATCTTGACCGGCAGGTTTTGATTAAATTTTACCAGCTAAAAACCGGTAATTACCGGCTAACGGAAACCCTGATTCACACCAGTCTATGATTCACACGTACAAAACATAGATTCATTCATTTTACCGCGCTGGAGATTTCATCAATGCGATTCAATTCTGAAAACCTATACATCGTTTTGAATATACTTTACCTAAGAGAAACAACGTCTCTCTTTAGAGTGTACTGTGAAAAAGCCAGAAGGGGAAAGTGATGAGTTTAACAAAGAGTCATCTTTAGCATCTTGATCGTTTTTTAAATGTAAAAACTCCTTAATGCACTGAACCAGAGAATAATTGCAATTTTTGACAAAAATGATGATTAATTAATAATCACTTTTTTTGTACTTAACCATGAAAAACACAGGGCATCATTCTTCGTCAGTATATGTGTTCTCCGTAAAAGCCAATGCTTGGTTGTACATTAAAGAAAATATATCCGGTATTACTAAAATATCAGATATAGTATGTTAGGCTGTAAAAAGAACAACATACGATACATGCATGGCCTTACTGGATGATCAATACAGAAGGGCTGAATCATGAACACTGTGGTTCATTTTGCTCCTCTGAATTAGATCATAAAACATACATAAGATAACGTGAACATAAAGATTGAAATCATGTCCCAGCCAGTAATCTTGTGGGAAACATTTGTGTTGACACATCGAAGCTTGAATAAGGAGAGTATATCTGGGGGTGTGGGTAAAGCTCGAGATGGAGGCACAGATACATCAGAGATTATTCTAAATCATATCTAAGTCACAATCATGTCTAATTGTGTATCATGCAGAGATTGTATACCCATACAATAATGATGTCCTCCTCATAAGAACATGAACTTGGCCAGCCTCAGCAGCAGACTGCAGACACAAGTTATCTCATCGCCACTGACAACCTGGGTGTGTCTGAACAACATCAATATTTACCAACTTACTGTGTCATCCATAGCATCACAACCCACACAAGCACATTCATTAACCGAGCATTATGCAATTGTATAAACCCTTATATATCATCCTAATGTTTTAAACTACTGGCCACCTTAAACGCTTTAAAACGCGTACATTTTAGCCGTTTTACAGCCTATGTTTTCCTGTTAAACTTCCAGACCGCAGACTTCAATTCACACACTCCGGTCCATTGTGTGGAGCCTTACAGGCTGCTAATTTGATTAAAAGAATGCCCTGCCCTCCCACATACTGAAAACACAGATTCACCGGTGAATACACTTCAGTTTAAACTGAAAAGAGACGTATACCCGCCGCAGAGCTAAGTAGAGGGGCCGTTTCCTCTGTAACCCGCTGGCAGCAGGTGCAGCGGGTTCACTGGCACACTAAAGCAGAAATTAACTTCAGTGGAGAAGGAAACATGTCTTACCACTCTGCTCCCCCAGAAAGACCAGTTTGAATTTTCTTAAAGGGTTTCCAAAGTCACTGCCCACGGACATTTTGAGAAGGAGGTGGGGGAACTCTGGAGGAAAGTCTGAGTATACTTGTGTGTGTTTCCAGTCGAGTTCGGTGTTGGTTGGTGAAGATGCCCGGTAGAAAAGGCGGTGATGTTGCTTTCCGTTCAACGTCGCGCTCTCTCTTGGTGATGGGAACACACACTGCTGCTGCACCGGGTTGTGACGTATTCATTTTTTCCTCTCACCAAAGGTCGCCTGCGCATGCGCGGCCTCTCCTCGTTCTCTGTTAAACTGACAGACGTGATATAAAATTACGTCATGTGAGTCAGTGGAGAAAGTGAGGAAAATGTGGTGCCTGGCTTAAAAAAACCTAGAAAGTAACACATATTTTGTATTATACATTTTATCATGATATTGGCAAGAAAAACATGTTCATACATTTAAAGTTAGCAATAACAAAATGTAGTATTTTGTGAAACTTCTTTCTAGCATGATTAACCTAATCAGGTGTATGTTTTATAATGTTTTTGTTTAATGTGATATATGCCTGGCTATGTAATTAAAATAATAATTCAACTTGCAGCAGGGTCCCAAGTTCAAGTATTTAGAATAACGTCTTCTCTTGGTTCAACTCAAAATATGAATACATAACTAGGCATTTTTGTATTAGACATTTGGGTGTGTCAAGCTTATATTTTGCTTTAGTCTACTTAAAAGGCTACTTTAGTGATGTAGTATTGCACTCCCATAAAGTTAGTTTACAGGCTTTGTATCAAAGAGTTGTATATTCCAGGTCCAAGCTACAATCACCCTGTCTTGGGAGTCAGGAGGCCTGATAATTTATTCTGGCAAATTACTCAGACCTACTAATTGACCTATAGAAGTTATTGAGTCTATGTAAGTTTACTGGTTGGCTCAGATCAACTAACGTCAGCAAGACCTCACCTCTATTAACTCCTGAAGAACCAGGTTCAATTAACTGCTGTTTCAATTCAGACAACTCTCTAAATCTGTTTAAGCGATCCCAAAGGATATTGATATCAGTAATGAGGTGTGGCCCTACCTAAGTGTGAGTGTGGCAGGGTGCAATCTTACCTTTTAAGCAGGAGAGGAGAGCGCAGATGTCTTTTAAGTTGTCCCAATCCAAAAGGTGGGATCAGTTTATTTGAAGAAAGATTGGTCCACACTTGAACAGGGTTTTACCTTCTCTCGTTACAATATGACAGTAAAATAAAACATATCATGCTGTGGTCATCTTCTAATCTGAAACCTTAATTCATAGTTTTGACATTAAAGTCTTCCGACATAATCCAGAGGAATCTCCTCACGGATCGCCGGGTCTAAACATTCACACCTATAGCCTGACAACATTTAGAGGCGGTTCCTCGTAAATGGTCAGTGGAACCTAACAGTTTCAAACTTTCATCCAACAATTCACTCAGCTTTTAATAAACCTGATTTAATTTAGACATTAAAGTCTTCCGACAGAATCCAGAGGAATCTCCTCACGGATCGAAGGTGCTATTCATTCACACCTCCGACAGCATTCAGAGGCACCTCCTCAAAAATGGTCAGTAGGGTCTAACAGTTTCAAACTTTCATTCAACAAACCAATTCTTATACACACCTATGTCCGGCATGAATTCAGAGGACCATCCTCTAGGTCAGGGGTTCCCAACCTTTTTTCCCAAGAGCCCCCCCAAATGACTCCTGTTGGAAGTTGCGCCCCCCCCACACACACACACACACACACACACAAGGGGGGGGGGGGGGGGGCGCAACAGCGGTAGCCTAATTAAAGTTTAAAAGTCTCAAAAATGCTACAACTGCTGTCACAAACTGGATGAATGTGAAGTATTTTGTTAAAGGAGGATGAAAGCGTAATTAAGGAGCACTATTGGAGTGACTTTGATGGTTATTGGACTCAGGATTCATTCATTTGGATTCCCGCTGTATGAAGAAATTAAAGGACTGCGCAAGTGGAAACAATTCACAAAGGAATTAAACTGTTTAAAACACGTGCTCAAAGTAAGCCGGATTTTGCCGATGTGTTTATGTGGATTCAAAAGTCGTAAATAATCTACAAAATGGAGGAGACCGATCTGATCGGAGCAGACAAATAATCCAACTAAAACCGGCATGGACAATGACTATGTTTTAAAAATGCGCTTATCCAGAAAAGCCTGGTTTGGACACTTAACGCACAGAAGAAACATTTATATTAAAGAAAGAATTATACATTTCTGTCTTTTTATGCCTATAATAGCTACTAACTTGAATTTGTATTCAAATTAATTAATCAATTATTTTTTATATTGTATTGTAATGTAGAGACAAGGCTTTGGGTGACAATCATGTATTTCGTTACAATTATATGTAAAAAATTAAATTAAATTAAAAATAAAATCTAAATATGATATTTGGCCTCAAATCATCTGAGGCCTGGCGCCCCCCCTGCCCCCCAGGTTGGGAACCACTGCTCTAGGTGGCCGGGTTATAATCTTTCAACAAACAATTCATTCAGCTTTCAACAAAGAAATTAGAGAGATATTTACCAAGTTTGAGAGAACCTTTACTGAGGAAAAACCCAGCTCTCCAGTGAGAGAGCTTACCGGGAGAGAGCATACCAGGGGGAAAAAACCCCTCTCTCGAGTTTGCTCCCTCTCTGCTAGTGTTTTTATGCTCAAAACAGGATAGAAAAACCTAAAGACACCTCCTCTATACCCATATTTGTGGAAACTGGGCATGGCCTCGAGTGTGCACGACTTGCAAAATATTATTCTTGGCTATGGCACAAACACCCTTTGGGGCCTCAGTCTTTCTCCAAAAAGTCAGGAGCCCCCCCCCCCCCCCCCCCCCTGTGTACTGCTGTGAGGGAAGAAACTCTCTCTCCTCTTATCAGTGCCACCCATAAACCATTATAGGCCTTACACTCAACTTAGCAAACCACTGTTTATACTGTAAATATAGAACATCATAAAATATGAAGCATTTTCATTGTGGGTTATGCAAGAATATAATTGATTATATTTGATTATGATTAACTTTCGTTTTAAAGGAATGGTATGCTCATGACACTCATTTTTAAATAATTATCATCCGATAAAACAGACCAGTCTCTGCCAGTCTTTTTTGTTTTTTTTTAATCCGATGACATTATCAGTGATTTTAAACTGATTAATTACCGAAATAACATCAACACTGTGGGCGGCGCCATTTTACCGGACGTGACGTAAACCATGCGTTTGGTTTCGAGGACACGTTGATGTTCATGTTATTTACTGTAGTTACTCTCTTCAAATATGCCTCATTGTATCGCGAAACATTGCCACAATTCTGATAGGAACAATCCACGGAATGCTCGGTTCCATCTGTTGCCAAAAGGTAAGCGTAGGAAGTACGTTCGGAGGCAGTGGCTAGCGAAATGTGGCCGGCCCGAACCGAAAGATCCACAGGCGCATGTATGCAGCGAACATTTCAAGTTTCCGGACGACTACTCTGAGAGTATGATAAAACATAACATGGGATTTATTGAACAACCATTACTTAATGGAGATGCAGTACCATCGGTCTTTCTGGTGTCATCACCGACCAGGACACCAGTTCGGCCAGTTGAGAAATCGCCCTCTGCAAGTGTGAAGCGACGGAGGACCAGAAGTAGTGCTCGGAGTAAGAATAAGGTATGTTATGGCGCATTTCCATTGCAGCGGGTAGCCCCGTTTAAACGTCCTTTATCGTCCAGGCCAGGCCAGTTTTTGGTGGCCTTTCCATATAGCGTAGTACCGGCTAGCGGGTACTTTTCCCCAGTTTTTCCGGCCCCATAAAATCGTGGTTCTAGGTACACCATTCATGTACAGGTCTTCCTACTCGCCTCCCGAAATCAATTGCACGAGTAAAGGGATCGTCTCCAGCAAGATCACCGTACTGTTCATCCTCATCGTCACTGTCCCTGGATTCCTGACGGTTCTGACTACTTGGCTCGAACCTGTATGGCTGAATCCCCCCATCCAATCTCTTCATATTGCTCAAAACTTCTTCCTCGGCTGACGAGTCCGAACTCAAATACTCCGCCATGTTTTCGTGTGTTTACAAAGTGAACGCATGGATGACGTCACGACCATCACGTGACTACTGAAAATGGCAGCGGCCTGACAGAATATACAGGTTTTGATAAAAAAAAAAGAGCTATAAAATCATTATTTACCGGGGAATATCGCTGATTTCTTCAGGGTATGGTTTAAACATAATGTTTCACTAAATACTGAAGTTTTGATTAATTATCTAATGAGTGGACCTTTCCTTTAAGTATTCAATCTAATATGGGTAACAACAGCAGAGGTACTCATTAAACTGAGCGCCCTCCAACCTAACAAGGCCACTGGCCACGACAATATCCCCTCCAAATTCCTCAGAGACTCAGCAACCGCCATCTCACCAGTCATAGCTCACATAATTAACCTCTCCATAAAACAGGGACACGTACCCAAAGACTTCAAAATTGCAAGAGTAACCCCCCTGCACAAAAAGGGCAGCAAATTGGACCCAGGCAACTACCGCCCTGTTTCTATACTTACCTCCATCTCGAAAGTCATGGAAAAAATAGTATATGAACAGGTCGAAAAGTACCTCGCGGAAAAGAAACTAATCTATGAATTTCAATCTGGCTTTAGAACATCCCACTCCACTGACACATGCCTTCTTTATTTGAGCGACCACATCAAACAAGAGGTGGACGAGGGCAAGTACTGCGGCTTGGTGATGCTGGACCTACAAAAGGCTTTCGACACTGTCAATCACCCCATTCTGATTGACAAGCTAAAAGCAATTGGTTTTGATAAACTATCGGTGAGCTGGATGCGTTCCTACCTGGAGGGGAGAGAACAGATGGTGGAGGTAAACGGTACTCTGTCCCCCCCCCCTCCCAGTGAGCTGTGGTGTTCCACAAGGAAGCATATTAGGTCCGATACTGTTCCTAATTTATGCAAATGACATGTCATCAGCATGTGACTGCAACTTGTTCCTGTTCGCAGACGACTCAGCCCTGCTGGTCTCTGACAGGAGCAGATTGCAGGTTGAAAAAACCCTCAGCTCCGAGCTCGGCAGAATCTGCACCTGGCTCGCCGATAATAAATTATCATTACACCTGGGTAAAACAGAGTCCATTCTCTTCGGTTCGAAACATAATCTCAGCAAATCCGACGACTTCTCAGTTGCAGTGGGCGACTTTATTGTCACAAGTAAGAAGGAAATTACATACCTAGGATCTATTCTTGAGGCAAACCTCTCCTGTGACAAAATGGCATACAATGTAATAAAAAAAGTCAATCAAAGAACTAGATTCCTATACCGGATCTCCTCTCTGGTAAACAAAAACACCCTGAAAACTCTGGCAGGAGCACTCATTCAAGGGTACTATGACTATGCTTGCACGTCATGGTACCTCCAAGGCGCTAAAAATAAAACTTCAAACATCGCAAAATAAACTGGTGAGACTACTGCTTGACCTTTCATCTAGAACCCACCTCACCTCTGCCCACTTTGACAACCTAGGATGGCTTAGAGTAGACGACAGAGTACAGCTACTTGCAATGGGCCTGGTCTACAAGATCCACTACACCTCTATGGTACCCATGTACATGTCAAAATTCTTCCCAAAGGTCAAGGAATACCATGATCATAACACCAGAGGGAGCTCCACAAATCATGTGAAACCCAGATTTGGCACAAAAAAGGGGGAATACACGTTTCGCAATTATGCCACATCAAGGTGGAACGCTCTTCCCACAACTGTAAAGGAAAGTAAAACTATACTTACCTTCAAAACCTCTCTTAAAGAGCACCTTCGGGGGAGAGCATTGCAAAACTGGCCCCGGTAATGGTACAAATCTCAACCTGTCGTACAATGGACAGCTTCCCCCCCCCATCTATGTATATACTCGCATTTTAGACTCTGTTACTAACTGTATATCTGTAGACTTGGTATGTCTTAAATGTCCGGTTAGGATGTATTAGAACGAAATCTAAAATGAAAATTGTAAATAAGCAATCTGTATGTAAAAAACCACCTGTATGTAAATTGTAAATAAGCCATCTGTATGTCAAATATGTCTTATATGTCTTAAATGACATGATGAATTGGAAATGGGGGACCCTGATGTAAACAAGACGAAAGTCTTTCTCTGGTCTGCATCCCCTTAACAATTGTATGTTTTGAGCTGTACTGTACTGTACCCAGTATACAAGCTGTTAATAAACTTTTCAATCAATCAATCAATCAATATGGAGATCTCAACACTGATGACACAATTGTTGTTGTTACCTAGACATTTTAATATATAGTTATATAAATTAATGCAGTCCAGATATTAAGCCACTTATTGTTTATATTAAAAATGTTTAGTACTTACTATATATTCCACACCTATTTTGTTTTATTTTCCACTTAGTTTATATTTTATTTATTTTGTATGCATTTACTGTTATTAGGAAATGTCCATATGGGATAAGTAAGGTACTCAATCCATCAAGCTATGTATATTGCTGGCTAATGTGAAACATGTCACATGACTTGTAGGAAGTGCATTATATTGTCTTTGTGCATTGAACGGCTCCAAGTTGACATTAGTGTTCACAGCAGACTACACATCTTCAGCTTCATTAGTGACTCAGGACTAATCCTAACAAAACTACTTATCGCTAGATTTCCAGTGTGTCAGTTTACTAATGGTTGATCATATATTACTTACATAACCTGCAACGTTATTATAACTAGATTGACAAATAATAATATTGTGTTCATACTGTGTCTTTTAGAGGGGCCATCCCTCTAAAAGACACAGTATGAACACAATATTATTTTATTTTTTTTAAATGCAGGACCCAGCTTAGTAGACATTACATTTATTTAAATTCCAAACCCAACTGACATGCAGCAAACTACTGAAGTAAAGAGTGTTATGTGTGAGGTATTTTTTTTTAATAAACAGTGTATGTCATGATATTTGAAAATTCATTGGCATTGCATTTAAAATAAAGTGTATATGATCATATATCAAATGAGTATTGCAGTACACATATGTCTCAATGTATGAGACAAACATCTATACAAAAATAAACTTAAATATTAAGCTAATAAAGTTCATTAGTTACACAATATGTTCCCATTGGAAATAGAAACTTGAATAGATTCTACCTTTCAGGAATAATATGATCTATCTGTGGTTAACTCTGCACTGCCTCAGATGCATGTACAATATACTGAGGTACAGGTGAGCAGCTGACCTCTCTGAACTGGAAATAAGTGGGTCAGATTGTCAGAGTATTTCCAATCAGGAACTTTAAAGAAGTGATCTGTGGCATTGTGGTAAAGGTTTTCAGATTCATTCAATTAATCATTTTCTAACAAAATATTTGATGTCCTGAACTGCAAATGTTCCTTTTTCTCTTCTGATAATGTGTTTAGGTACACACTTGCAGCTTATTGAATGTATGTCAATGCATTGTTGAACATGCTGTATATATTTTTAATATATGTCTCGTATCTTTCTTATATATTTCTCGTGTAATTTTTTCCAATAACTAAAACTTAAAAGAATAGGCTACGTCAAATTGTCTTAAAAGTACGTACATGACGGGGTCCCTTTATATTCTCTTTCCTTTTACTACTCTGGCTGAAAAACATTTGAGAACCTCTGATCTAAAGCATCTGAAAACATTATACGTTTTCCCTTTTGGATAGATCTGACATCAACTCCACCCAGTGAAGCAGCAGGTGGGGGGGGGGCTACAGGAGTGGAGGTCAGTGCAGGTCTGTGTGGGCTGTGGCTCTCCTGACGCAGCTCTGCTCTGCACATTGTTCCTCAACATGTCACACTGCTGCAGAGCTGTTAGAGACAGAGGCGGGGGTCCACAGGGACGCTCACAGGGTCACAGGGGTCCGTCAGGCCTCTTCTCCAGACTGTACTCCTGAGTCCTCTTCGCCTTCCAGCCCAGCATCATCAGCAGCAAGATCCCCATCACCTTATAACCCACCTGTAAGCCCAAGTACCTGCAGGGGTCAACACATACATATAAATGTCAGCAGTGATGTGGATGTTATGGAATCCCTGAGAGGAACAAATGGAGAATAATTTCAAGAAATAGTTTTCTCTCCTGTGTTTATGACTTAAAAAACATTTGTAAAAAGATGTGCCATAACAAACTCAAATGCATCACTGCCCCATGTTCTAAATAGGACTAAAAGTGGCAGATTAGCCAATTCAAATACATTTAAAGCATAGAACAATACATAACTTGCATAATGTGCAATATCCCTCTGCATGAAGACATTTGAACTGACCTTGTATAAAACACGTTTTTTGATTCCCTTTGTAGAAGAGGTAGTGGTGCACTTCAGCCTTTTTAGGTGATATGAGTATTGTAAGAACAAACACTCGTTTCTATTTTTATAGATGTACAAGAATTGAAGTGGTTACATGTTACAAATACCTGTTACAAATACCTGTTACAAATACCTGTTACAAATACCTTGGTATCTGGCTTGATGATTGTCTCACTTTTAAACTTCATGTCAATAACCTGCTTAAAAAGCTGAGGGTTAGGCTAGGTTTCTTCTACAGGAACAAGTCCTGTTTCTCGCTTGAGGCCAGGAAAAGGTTAGTCACTGTGACCTTTTTACCTGTGCTGGACTATGGTGATCTGATGTATATGAATGCACCTGCCCATTGCCTGGTCAAGTTAGATGCTGCGTATCACAGTGCACTAAGATGTGTGACAAACTGTAAAGCATTAACCCATCACTGTACCCTGTATGCAAGGGCTGGTTTGCTTTCACTAACTGTACGGAGGCTCAGTCACTGGTACATTTTTATATACAAAGCCATGTTAGGGAAACTTCCATCTTATATCTGCTCACTGATCTCACGGAGAATTGTAAGTGGCTACTGCCTGAGATCGAATGCTGTGGTTTTATTAAATGTTCCAACTGCTAGGACTGTCTTAGGGAAGACAGCTTTTAGATGCGCAGCTCCTCTGTCTTGGAATAGTCTGCAAATGAAATGGAAACTGAACAATCTGGTGCCACTAAATGTTTTTAAAGCTCGGTTGGATGCTACTCAATCGGAAGCTATTGGTACCTGTTTATGTGGATAATTATGTAAATTGTAATCCCTGTAATGATGCTGTATGATGTCCTTTTTGTTGTTCTGTTTATGTTTTTATATTTCATGTGGAACCTACTTGAGCAGGTCTCCCTTGAAAAAGAGATCAATGATCTCAATGGGATACACCTGGGTAAATAAAGGTTTGAAATGAAAACAAATATTTTCCCCTGGGAATTTTCTTTTTTTCAACCCATTTCCAAAATGAACATTTTTGGAGTTTTCTTTTTTCGTCTGTCCTTAAGTCAGTCAAAATCAGACTTAGATCAATCTAATGATTTTTTTTCTTGCCTCTAAGGTGTTTTGTAAGGTGTGTTGCACTGCATTTGTGTATGTTCAGAGTGATTCGTACCGGTTCCTCAAGATGTTGTTGTCATAGTAACCACAGCTAAACTTCCTTCCACACACACGCTTCCACCAGATACACGACGTGTCAATGGCAGTCCCGAAGAGAGCAGGGGCAGGGAGCCAGGCTGAGGGGGGGACAGAACGAGGGTGTAACATTTCTATCAACATGTGTTGGAGCTAGAGCCACTAGAGGGCAATCCAACATCTGCTTAAAACCTGATCAATGTCATTCAGAGATATGTTTAATAGCACCATATAGCAGCCAATCATCACAGTGAAACATAACTGTTCAGAGCCATTATGTGTGCAATAGTCATTCATTTCATTTGAATGTTTTATTGGAGCTTCTTTTACCATGGATATTTATATATTGTTAATAACCATTTCAAGTCTGTTTCGATTCATAATAGTACATTTTCCATTGACACCTTTATTTTAAGTCACATTTTATTTCTACAATGTCACTTTATTACATGTTGCTGTATTCTGAAATGAAATACATTAACTGTAAAACTGTTGTAATAAAAACAAGATTAAATTATAAAATAATAATCGGTAACAGCAATAAAATAACTGGTTATTCATAACTATAGCATAACACACAGAGACATTGTGTCTTGACTTACCTAATACTCTCATGAGTAGAAACTGAATTCCTATAGCAAATGACTTCTCTTCAGAGGAAACACATCTGACAGAAACAAATAAATATATCATCTTATAAAGTATTTCTTGGCAACAACATTTAAATACGAGTTTCATCAAATCATTAGTAAGTGTTTGTAGTGGAGCAAAAGCAGATATCATTACGTATTTTTGAATAGTTAAAATAAATTACAAAAGAATATGTGAATATACTGAAATGCATTGTCCTCCTTCCCTACCTGAGCACCATCATGTACATGGGGTTGTGAGTGAGGCAGGCGATCAGCGATGCCAGAGAGATGACCAGAATGACGGGGAGCAGCAAATGTGGGCAGTTGTTGGGACAGGGGGCAGGGCGGGCGCTCTGGCCCCCAGAGATACACCTGCAGCTGGTGTACAGCTGTATCCACAAAGAAAGCAATGGGAATATTATAGATTTATGTTATCTGTGCAAAGAGAATGAAAAACAACATTTTGCTTTGCTCGTTATTTTGTACCAAATCTGCTCTGAAATAAGATTACTGGCGTTCTTGCCAAATGTGTTTAATAAGAAGATTGAGGCTCTCACGTCTGTACGCAGAATATTAGGCAATAACAGTCATCAGCTAGTTTAGCCTCAAGACTGGAAACAGGATTCTTTGCTTAAGAGATTCTGGTAGGCAGAATATTTAGTTTACAAAGGGACAGAGCCAGGTTAGCTCATTCCCCCTGATGCCATTCTTTATTCTGAGCTAAGCTGGTTACCTGCCTGGATCTTGCTTCAGACTAAGCATCCAAGATTTGTATTGATCTTCTCAATTACTTCTCAGCAAGAAAGAGAATAAGCATATTCCCCAAAATGTCTAAAAAAAATGAAGCTGGTCAATGATTTAAAAAAAAGCCCAAAACATGGGGTAGTGTTTCTCTTCAGCCAACCCAACAAACTATTCAAATTGAAACACTTGGGTCACAGATGAAGTTTTGTTTTCAAAGGATTCAAGAAATATAAGTACTGTCAGAGCTAGTGTGTCCGGATGTTGGGCATTTCCACTTCTCACATCACATTCGTGATATGCGTAGGATGCAGCATTGGTTTTTATTAATGTATAAAGCCATTTTAGGAAAGCTTCCACTCTACATATGTGCCAGATTTACTCCAGTTTGTGACTCTTACAACCTCAGACCCAGTGCCTGGATACAGGTCCAGGTTCCTGTTGTGCGGACTGAGGCTGGGAAAAGGAGTCTTCTTTATTATGGTCCTTGGTCTTGGAATGACCTTCAATCAAGCCTCAAACTGAGGGCACTTGTCTAAATAGCATGTTTTAAATTGAAGTTGTCTGAAGTCCTTACCACCAGCTGCTCTTGCAGTAATAAGAAGTGCACCTTTCTTACTGTCCTAATGTGCTCAATGTAGGGACTGCTTTTTTGTCTTTTGTTTTCTTATGTTCTCTGTATTTTATATGTTTGTGTTATGTGTTATGTGTAACGTTGCTGCCTTCTTGGCCAGGTCAGCATTGCAAATGAGATTATATCTCAATGCTTGTATCTGGTAACTAAAGGTTAAATTAAAAAATGTAATTAAATTCATCACGTGAATGAATTCACCTTTCTTGTGGACATCTGAGTTAACAGAAAATAGACTATTATTAATCTGATCTAATCTTGGGATTCATTCATTAAGATAGCTGCACCCATCAGTGTTCTGCAGTATTACACAGAGGACACTATTAGCAGTCACATATCTCCCAATGGAGGATTATTCACAAGCTTTGACATCTTAATTATGACGTGTTGTCTTTCTTTAAACACCTCCTGTTGTCCTGTGAGTGATAAGCATTGATTGGACATTGGACTGTGAGACACTTGTTAGCGGCAGAGCTCTGTCTGTTCCGACTGATCCACACTGGGAGCTCCTGCTGATGGAACACATTATGTAACGGAGCTCTGGGAATTGTGATTGTTTTGAAGATATGTCACAAAGTCTAAAAGCTGTCATCCAATATGTGTCTCAAATCTAAATGACTCATCTAAGGCTAAAGTTACTTTCAAGTATCCAAGCAACACTACCATAACAATGTTTAACCTCTTGACTCCCTGAAGAGAAGATTTGTCTTGATGCAGTCTCTGCATTCCCCACACAGTTAAAGATGAATTACACCATTCCAGGCTGATTTACAGATCTAGTGATAGGAAAAGAACCAAATAGTTATCCCCAGATCCCACACTGAGAAAATGTTACAAGCTATTACTAAATGTGTTTTGAGCTGTTTCTCCTTTGCAATACATTTATCTAGCATTCCTATCTGACAGTACATGATTAATTTGCATCTGGAAATTGCACTCATTACTGCTGATGAATTATTGTACAATGTTATTCTAATGCTGCACAAATATCTGCCAGGTTTAAAAAGTCAGCTAAAAGTCAAGTTTTATTTGTTCAGCCCCCTCACAAGCATGTCTTAAAGGGATAGTTCTTATTGTTTGAAGTGGGGTTGAATGTGACACCTGCGTATCTATAGCCAGTGTGTTTCCTACAGTAGATAGCAGCCGACATGCCCCCCAGTTTGGAGAGCCGTGCTGCTGTGGACAGACGCAGAACAGTGACTTTCCAGGGTTATGGTTAGGGTCAGGGTTAAGTTTAGTTAACCCTGACCATATCCTGCTGCCTCAACAGGAATTGTGTTTGTGTGACTTCTGTGATTCTGAACATAACAATCACACAATGACACCAACAAACAAACCAGTCTTTGGAGGCAGCAGTACACCAGCAACTTCTGTAGTGCAGTGAACATATTTTTAAAATATAGCCTAACACATTTAGCTGCCGTGCCCATCTGCATTGCTTGGCTTCTGTGTTACTAGGTGTGTGCCGAGCGCCATCTCCTGCTGTTGCAACACACTCTCACTCCCTAAGCGTCCAGGAGCGACGTTTGGTCAGTGTCCGTGGCGTCCAGTTGTGACGCTCCTAGGCTCCTTCAGCGTCATAAAGGGACGCAAATAGCTTTCAACTGATTGCAATGTATTCCCATCTGCGGCGGGATTTGACGCTCATGGAAGCCCGGCATTCGTTTGTGTCGGCTGCCCTTAAAGGCAATGTGAGCGTCCATTCCCATTGGATAACGGAGAATTGTACACCCGGAAGTAAGTATTCCCCTTACTGTCGATTGATTTTACAGTGATATCTGCACTACTCATCGACTAAAAAACACCAGATTATCCTTGTTAATTACACAACATTGATTGGTTTAAATTGTGTGCAATGCTTTTGTATTTTTCTCCTTCGATTCGGAGAAACAAATATTTGTTCTGAGTAAAGGACGGCAGACACACACACTACACTACCCAGAATCCCCAGCTATCGTTTAGGACTACACCATGTGCTCTGTTTGACAAACCCCGTGATAGTCCTCAAGCTCTGTGATTGGAGAGTGTGCTCCGAGGGTTACGCCGATTCTCGAACAGCACTTGAAATGGGATGGAACCACGGCAGACGGTCCAAAACTGGATTTGAACGGGTCCACCGCGTCCCCCCGTGCTTCAACATAGTTAACATTGCTGGAGGTATGCACAAATATTGATAGATGTCTTGTAATGCACTATTGAGGAACCTGCGACCCAAGTTTTTCATTCAATGCAGAACGACACCGTAGTTGTGTAGGCCTATATGATATGTCAATAAACCTTAGAAAATCTTGAAATCTTGAAAGGGATGTGCTAAATAGTCATTATATACAGTCTTTAATTAACTATTAGTAGAGAATAACGAGTAATGAATATACTTTATAGGGATCCTATTAATATCTAATAATAAAAATAATGAAATTCAATAACATGCTTTAACCACTAGGTGTCCCTTTATATCAGCTGTGCACCTTTATGGTGTAAATACAGCCTATCTACCAATTGGATCAAATATAAAAGTCAGCCGAATTAGTGTTGATACTGCAAGGAGACGTATTGTGTGAAAAGAAATGTAAGATGTTGTTTAATGGCTGATATATTTATGATCCACGTCACGTTTTCAGTTCCTCATGTTTGTGTAGAAGTCTTCTCATCAGGGCTCTATAAATACAGAACTACGGCAGATATGTAATATTTAATGCAGCCGAACCGTGTCTTACAATGCCGTTATGTGATGACTTTCAAAGAGAAAAGCAAGCACACTCGGAATAAAGTATTATTTTTTTTATTTTTTTAAATGTTTTCGGTCTGTTTTCGGTATTTGTTAATGACGATGTGCTGTGAGATGTGAGACTGGAATTGTACAGGGGAAAATAACGTAGGCTATCTTTAGATGCGGATTTTGTTAAACTAATACGTTTGCGCTGTGGACCAACACTATACAGTGACGGAGAAGGGGGTAGCAATAAAGATAACACCATTAAACAGTTACACAACATAACAGAAATAATATCGATAGCAGAGTCCCTAGCAACCACCTTGGTAACAATGAAAACGTCGCGATTTCCTGAAGTAATCTTCGTAATAACTAGCAAACTAAAGATCATGTACATCCACTGCACACATAATCTGAAATAACAACTCATATTTCTCGCATCAAATGACATCAAAACGCATTTTAATGGCCAAACTAACTTTAAAATAGGCATTTTCCACCGAGAATAAAACGAAGTTCGGCCATGTTTTCTTTTTCTGCAGGGAGACATTTGAAGATCACGTGACATAGACGCCAGCCATTGGAATGAATGGTGAAAAAAAAAAATGGGGTTTGTCAAACAGAGCACATGGTGTAGTCCAAACGATAGCTGGGGATTCTGGGTAGTGTAGTGTCTTCTGCCATCCTTTACTCCGAACAAATATTTGTTTCTCCGAATTGAAGGGGAAAAATACAAAAGCATTGCACACAATTTAAACCAATCAATGTTGTGTAATTATCAAGGATAATCTGGTGTTTTTTAGTCGATGAGTAGTGCAGATATCACTCAAATCAATCGACAGTAAGGGGAATACTTACTTCCGGGTGTACAATCCTCCGTTATCCAATGGGAATGGACGCTCACATTGCCTTTAAGGGCAGCCGACACAAACGAATGCCGTGCTTCCATGAGCGTCAAATCCCGCCGCAGATGGGAATACATTGCAATCAGTTGAAAGCTATTGGCGTCCCTTTATGACGCTGAAGGAGCGTCACAACTGGACGCCACGGACACTGACCAAACGTCGCTCCTGGACGCTTAGGGAGTGAGAGTGTGTTGGCTGGACATACACTGACAATAGATACTTTCCCCACCTGAACCCTGTGGGTGTTGTTGGGGTCTTTGGTGAAGTTGGTGCAGCCGGCATGGCAAGGAGAGATATACTCCACACCGTCAGAGCCACACACGGGGTTGAAGGCGCTGGCAGGGCAAGAGCAGTTGGAGTAGCACAGAGCTAGAGACCTGGGGGCGGCAGAGAACACAAGCTCAGAGCTGATGTGTGAGCAAGCCATGTTTCATTAGCATATTGATTCACATTATAGTGCTTACTGACTTGCTTAACTTCAATGTGTTTTAAATGTGATGTAATTTATACATACATTTAGCACAATTATATGTTTATAACAAGATTTAATCTGCAAACTAGCCATTAGCTAATGCTGACAACATTAGTAACAAACTCCCTTATGTGTGTTTTGGATGTTTTATTTCCACCAGTCTGAAATAAAATGGTGTTTTTGTCTGTAGCGTCTTGCCTTAGTTAAAGAAAAGCGAAAGCAAATAAAGTGAGCTACCATCTACACTATATACACATTTATTTGTGGTTTCTGCAATTTTATCACCCTGTGGTGACCACTGGTAGCACTATAGCGCAATGTGAGTTATGTACTATAAGAAAAAAGTTAAAAGTGATCACACACACACACACACACACACACACACACACACACACACACACACACACACACACACACACACACACACACACACACACACACACACACACACACACACACACACACACACACACACACACACACACACACACACACACACACACACACACACACACACACACACACACACACACACACACACACACACACACACACACACACACACCTATTGACAGTTATTTGCACTAATGTATATATTTGTACTCTTGTAATATCATCTTCATCACTTTAAAGGTCCCATGACATGGCCATTTCTACTGATAATTATTCCAGGTCAGTGTGTGCGGAGATCCGCGGCTGAGAAAAGATAAGGCTGAGTGAGTGTGTGTGTTACGTCACTATGACCAGGAAGAAACAAATGGAAAAAGAAAAATGTCCAACGAGGCGTTCTGGGGCAGCATAGACAGGTCTTCTCTGTGTTAGAGTTTTACTCGCTACAGGGTGTACTTTGAGGGTTTGTGACTCTGCAGACCGTTTACATGCAGAACAAGCAACATAACACACAAGGGGACGGGTAATAACCAGAAAAGCATGACATGGGACCTTTAAATGTCTAGTCTACTTGACTCACACCTGTGATCGTTGTTTTTTATATTGTGTTGTTTTTATTTATGCCTCTTAATGTGTGTATAATGTGTATCTATATATATATATATATGAGTATAATTAAGTGGGTGTACAGGTGTGTGTATGTACATATATGTATATATTTGTTTATATTTGTATTCTTTGGGATGGTGAGAAACAGCATTTTGATCTCCCTGTCTGTATCACACACACAGAGGAATTGACAAAAAAGTAGACTTTGACTTTAGTGTTATGTTTAAAGGTTGGATTCCTTTGTATTAACTGGTCGAAAGTTTTGAAAACACACACTCATTTAATGATAGTGCCCAATAAAATGCTAATAATTTACTCCGTAAAGTCATCTACATTGACATACATATTCAGTGTACTGTATCTGAGTTAGTCTTTTTTATATGCTGGATGAGGCTGACGTCCCAAAATCTAAACGTCCCCCTTTAGAAATAAAGCTGAGGACATCTTCATGAGAAGAGTTTCTCACTCACCCGTACTGTGCGTTCTGGAAATGGTTGACCTCTGAAACGTTCTGTGTGGGACAGCCCATGAAGAAGAGCGGCACAAAGAGGAGGGTGGATGTGGTCAGCATGGCAACAGAGAAGCGAGGGATGGTCTTCAGAGAGAGTCCCGCCCTCTTCATGATGACCCCGCCCATCAACATCCCCACGGCTACAGCAGGCAGATTCACAGCACCTGGGAACCATCAGCAGCTTAGTGGCCTCCACGTAACCATGGAAATGATATCCTTCATTCATCATTAGGGTAATTTCTTACGTTTTCACATGTTCACCCTAAAGGCCATTACATACTAATCCTATGTTTTCCTGCACAAAGCTCTCATGATCAGGACTGAAGTTGGTTTCAAGATGTTAGTCAGTGTAAGTGAACATTTGAATATGAATTGTCCCTGTGATACCCTTACAGAGGGATGCACAGGGGTTAATATGTCCATAGGGGTTTACTGCACATCCTGTGCTATTTTATTCGTTTGCTGAAACAAAGGATAGATGTAGTCTTTGCAGTGCTGCAAAAGGGAAAAGGCAGCGGAAACCCAAAAATGATTTTCATATTTGAAAAGATGACAGTGCAAACCTAAATCAGTGGCCATGGGGCAAAAGAGCTGACTATTAAAACTCTTCTTATACACTGTTTCATTGCAATTCCAAAGTGTTCATAAAATGGTTTAATACATGACCTGAACTAGATTTACAGCTGGCATTGATTGCAAGCACTGAAGGGGCAACAGCAATCTACATTAGCTTTCCTGAAGTCCCATCTTTATGTTGACAATTCTGCAGTACGTACCTACGAGCAGGCTGCTGTAGGCGAGGGAGGCGCTGTACTGCCGCTCCAGAAACTTATTGAGGAACGTAGCGAGCCCTGCGATCACTGAGGAGAAGCAGCACTGAGCCAGGACCAGCATCAGGAAGAGAGGGCTCAACAGCAGGTGCACAAACATCCTGGGAAACACTGATCACAACCAAAAACACATGACTTCAGAGAAAACTCTCTTATTTATCTGATACAATATGTCTGAATATAATAAACTTACTTTTCAGGAAATCAAGTAAAGAGACATCTGGCTTCTTGAAGTCATCATTCAGGTCAGTTTCACTTCTCATCCCCTGGAACACAACATGCAGTGTGAACTATGGGGAGGCACATATGGGATTGTGCTGTGTAAAGAAAACTATTCTACCACTACAGGACAGTGCCTTCAGATGACCTCTTCCTCAACACTGCCGACATGTTTCAAATCTTTTAATATCAAATGAGTAGATGTAGATGTTATATGAAATGTAGATGTTATGTACAACTCATAACAAGTCTTGGGCAAAGCTGAGAGAGACATCATCTGGTTTCACAAAGACGTGGAGGAAAAAATCTGTCTTGCTCTTTTATATTTTTGTAAAGGTCAACAAATGATTCACAAGTACAAATCAATTATTGGGAAATGAAATGTGTTCAGTGACCGTTACCCTGTGCCTTATAGCTGGTGAAAACCCAGAGAAAGAAAGACAAGTGTAATGTTGACATCAAGCCAGTCAATAAAACATGAGCGGCATACTTTCACATGATCCACAGATAATGGATGGATTAATAAAACACACACACACACACACACACACACACACACACACACACAAGCGAGCCCCGCAACATGTTTAATCATCTGATTCGTCTGTACATTGCTGTTTTAGTATGTGTTCTTCTAATTAGTGTCTACAGTGTGTGCCTATTGAGCTGTTTAGAGCCATGTGGGACACAACCCGATCCTGTCTAAGTCAATAGTGACTGTAAACACTACACTGCGCATGCTCAGAATATTTTCCTATTTAATGTGTGTGGCAAAAAAATAATGACCATAGGGGCATAGAGCTGCCATCCCCACATCACATCATTCAGAGCTGATTGGCTGTAAGTACGTGTGCCGCGAAAAGTGTGGTGTGTGAAGAGGAGGAGAGAGAGCTGCAGTGAGGCGTCCTAAAACCCGGAAGTAAACTGCGCATGGCTTCCCTCGACAAAAAAGCAATGATATTTCTCCATAGGATTTTAGAAAATAGCTCCAAATAAGATCTGTGGGAAACAAACCTGTTTGATAAATGCACGTTTTGTTCAGCCGGATAATATCCACATGTCTACCCTACTTTTATAATTTTCGAATCATAAATCTATTGATTAGATTAGATTTATGATAGACTTTTGAAACTACAAGAAGATAAGGAGGACTTTTACAAAAAAGTAATAGATATTTTTGTCCAGAAGGACAGGCAAATGGACTTCATCTTCAAGTCAAGGTAAGACTGCAATTTTATTGAAAATGGGATCTTACTAAGAGAGAACAATTCAATATTTAAATGATAAAATTACATTTTTTTGGGTATCCTTTTGTTGAACTGTCTGTTTAAAATTAATCGAAGCATCAGACAAAAAAAGCTTTTGAAAATAATATTATATTTTGATTTAGGTCAAAATATAATATTTGTAAACCTGAAGAGTCAGAGCCTCACCAGCCATGAACCTCACTGCAGAAGCTTATATATATAGACATCTAAGTGTTTTGTGCCCCACCACTTTTGTACATATAAAAACGCCACTGCATACTATACAGAGATGCTGTATGAGAAACCAATGTGAGTTTGGAACATTGAACAATGTAAATCTATTCTAGTAGACCTCAACAATGGAATTATGATCAGTAGAGATGGCCATGACATGGGACCTTTAAAAGGACCTGCAGGTTTCTGGGAGTTTGTTCCAGATATTTGGAGCATAATAACTGAACGCTGCTTTACCATGTTTAGTTCTGACTCTGGGGACAGAAAGCTGACCAGTCCCTGAAGACCTGAGAGATCTGGATGGTTCATATCGTAGCAGGAGATCACAAATGTAATTTGGCCCTAAACCATTCAACGCTTTATGAACCAGCAGCAGTATAATGGTCTCAGGCCACCCCTTGGCCCAGACCTACAATAAGTCACTCAAAAAGATACATAGTAAGAGACTCAACATTAACACAAAGCAACATCAACATGACCAAGAGAGACTCATCAACTACAAAGAGATGCAGAAAGGCTGAAAAGTGACACAAAGACATTACCAACAACAACAACAACAACAACAACGAAAAAGGGCAAAACATTTACAAAGAGACACACAAATAACCACAAAGAGACACCAAACATCAACAATAACAACAACAACAATAGGCCTAACACTATAAAGTCTGTTAAGTAGGAGAGGTGGTGGGACCTCTCTTATAGTAAACCCATATCACAGACACGTTCAATGAATGCTGAGTCATTAAACAGGACTTCTTTGTTCCACACATCTCTCTGAGTAAGGCTTACTTGATCCTCTGAAGGCATTCTCCGGGGGAAGAAGAAGTAGGGGATGGAGGTGAGGAAGAGGAAGCCGGCGGCGATGAGCAGGCCCAGCCACCAGGCTCCCACCCAGCGGGGGTCCGTCTGCCTCAGCTCCTGCTCTACTCCTGCACCAAACAGCATTTAACACCGTCAGCAGACACATCTCTCTAGCTATAACCAAATGGACGGAACATTACATTACCAAAGCCAGTCTTGTCCACGTCCACATAGATCCGCAGCATGACGGAGCCCAGCAGGTAGCCAATGGCAGGCCCGAACACAGACACTGCGAACAGGATTGCTGCGGATGATAGGGAGGAAGAGTTTCTGAAGGACTGCTGAGGGAGTCAGGTTTCTAGATATTTGTTGTTATGTGTTATCAACATGGTATTCTTTGGCAAACAATGAACATTTAGTGTGAGTGTATTTTGGCTTTAAGAATCAATGGCCCTTCATTGAAAAAAAAAAAGAGTTTGAGGTTTCCATTATTCAAATCAATATCTAACCTGGTTCTATAAGGTCACCTGCAGAGATAAAGACAGGGCTGCTCTGAAGGGTTTGACCTATTTGTTTTCCGTTTTTAAGATGATTGAGTCTTAAGTGGGAGTGTTCGTGCATTTTTTAAATGTTATTCCAAAAAATATTTGATTTGTCCGAACCCATTTATTTTGAGTCTATGGTCCAAATGTGTCTAAATGAAAAACATGTTTCTGTGCCAAAACTACTTATATAATTATCTGTACAATTGAACTTTTGTGTGTTAAAACTAATTATAATTACACAGTTTGAACAAAGTCATTATTTTGTGTTCTGTCTGAGGATCAATAAATATCAAATTATTATTGTTATTTCATTAATGATTATTTTTCACCAATAAAACGGAACTGCAAATCATTTTTGCTATCTGGGATATAAACCCTTAAACCCAATACCTGGATAACTTCCTTTAAATTCCAAGGTGACAAAATACTGTATATTGAAATAAATTGATTACATTCTCACAGAGTGACCTGGGATAACTGTGAGCCTCAGATTGTGGTCTCTTTGTCCATCACTCTGAGCTACAGTTCACCTATGTAAAGAGGGGAGTTTCCGGGCCCGGCGAAGTCATCGATGTAGGAGATCCCAAAGGGCTGGATGGGTACGGAGCCCACCCCGAACAGCAGCTGGGCGCCGGCCATCAGCAGCCACAGCTTGTTGGAGTCGGCCAGGCGCCGGGTCTCGTCCCGGCCACAGGACTCTTCACTGGAGTTCCTCTGCAGGTTACAAATGTCATGGCGATCTGGATCATAGCGGGGGGAGAGAGAAAGAGAAGGGGGAAAGAAAGTTAATGACATGCCAGTGGAGGCAGAACTCCTTTCATTCCCTCAAGTGTCTCCTTTGTCTGGAGGCAACATTAAAGAGGAAACAGGGACATTGGTATTATAAATGAAATGCCCTGAGAGGTAACTCTAATTCAGTTTTCTTTTGATCTATAGAAAGTTCAGCTAGAGATAGATCATCAGCAACACTTTGTAAATATTGCTGAAAAGTACAGAAAGCCAAATTCTGGCCACTGAAGATTGCAGCTTTGTAGACAAACCCCTTAAGTAAAGTCTCATAAATTGCACTGACGTGTATTTGTACTCTCCTCTGGAATCACGCTCGCTCTCACAGCCGTGGAGGCAGAGATATTGGTTCTGAGTCTTACTGTGTAGAACAGAGTCGTATTCGTAGGGCTGGGCTACGAAGTGAGGTAAGGTCAGCATCAAGGCGCTGACAGCCATCAGAAATCCTCCGATTCCAATCAAGCGAGGACGGTGGACCCGATTTCCAAAGTAGCTCACGAACACGATGAGCACACTGTTACTGATCTAGGAGAAAGAACAGAGGGCTGCTGTCACATCCATCCTGTCACCCCCCACCTTCAGTTCGCTCTCACAGTTTGCCAACATCACTAATGGACTCTTCAAACTAAATATGGAAATGACCAAGGTTGCACTGTAATCTGTACTGGGGTCTGCATTAAACCGAGGCTAGTTCAAAAGTAGTTTCAGAATTGTAGATGAAGCAATCAATTATGTAATTATTTAAAGAAAATGCACTTGGCTGTTATAACACATTTCGATAATGTAACTTTTTCAATGGATAATGTTATGATGTAAACAAGTATGCCTTTTTTCTCTGCAGTTTCAAATGTGTAAGTAGATGACATGAATAATACTGTGAGCATCATGTGAGCCTGCTGAAAACTGTTGATGCTGATTCCATCTTTATAGATGTGAACTGGAGGCTGCAGTTATCTCTAATCCCTATAAATGATAACCAGAGGAAACCTGCCCATGCCCATTCTGATTGGTTGTTGCAATTAAATTAATTTACACCGGATCTCAGATGACATTGATCAGAAAACAGAAGCTGCAGGAGATAGTCTGATATCATTCAATGTCTGCATTGAGATAGCATTACAAATCTAATTTGAAATGAACAAAAAAGAAGTTGACTCTATTAACATTTTAAAGTCAAAATAATCGGAGACACACAAATCCTTTGAAACATTTCAAGCTGCATGGACTGCTGGTTTGACCACTATGTGGCAGTATAAAGCTGTACACACTGAACTGCTGTACACACCACTCCTGAGAGGAATATGTGACTCTTTAGGGTCTCAGTGCAGGGCCATTACACCCGGACAATGAGCTGAAAGATGAGTGATTCTGTAATGCTGAGGAAGTGCAGAGACGGAGGATTATTTAGCGGTTCATCTCTAAGAACTCCTCATGCATTACACGTAGACACATTAACATACAAATACCATAAACATCTATCATGCAGACCTGATTTCTTGAGGCTTTGTTTTATCTCTGTTTACATAAAATGTCCTTCAATTAAAAAGGATTTCCTAATTTCAAAATCCTGAAAGGATTCTAGCTTCAAAAGAATGTAATAACTGTACACATTTCTCCTACTAACATAGTGATATAAATAGGGCCTGGTGACCCTTGGTCATGCATACTTAAAACATGAAAACAACTGGACATCTTATCATCTCCTTGACCCTCCGTATCTGTAATCAAACTGTGGCCTGACTCCAGGAAGTGTGATTGTGATATGTTGCTTGTTGCCAGTTCCTCTTCCTTCATCAGTATCCTTGAAATAAAGCTATCATGATTTCCGGCTGTGAGGTGGTGTTATTCTTGGCTCCTACCTCGTGCAGGGAGGAAATGGTTCCTGAGGAGTAGCTGCTGAGGCCGTAGCGTCTCTCGATGGTGCTGATGGTGCTCTTGAAGTAGGCGCTGTACAGCAGCTGGGACAGCTGCAGGAGGCCATGGCACAGGACGAACATCTGGACAGAGACAGGAGGCATGAGGCTCCAAAGCAGGTTATAGTCATACGTGTCGAATGTACTGTGAGAGACACTAGTCTGTGCTCACATAGACGCAGATCACCTTAAACTGTATAACACTGGCCCTGATGACTCCTGGCATTAACATGAGTAAAACGTTCTCTCAGGTTGGTTTCATTATTTTGCCTCTTGCATGTTTCCCCTCACATTCTGATATGTGGGGAGATGAACTGGATGCGCTCCTGGTGATCTGGAGGAGCGACTCCGTGTGTCAGGAGGCGCTCACACTCACTTCGCTTGGGGGGTTATGAATGCCCCGAATGACGCTGAAGAGCCATGTTGAGATTAGGAGTGAATTGCTAATAAAACAGAGATAAACCCAAGCTTTCAGTTGTTTACCGGCTGCCAGGTCGGCCAGGGGGAATACACTACGAACTCCACTTTAGAACAGTTAATGCTCCCATAAAGCTTGGCTTTATGCTTTGTCAGAACACAATAGACGCTTTTGCTAATATTTTTTTATTTTGGATCAAATGGATACATTTTTTCAGGAAGGCAACGAGCCCCTTTTCTTTGTGAAGTAAATTCAAATGAAACATTAGAGGTGCAGTGTTCCTGTAACACAGCTTCAAGTCAATTTAAAATCCACTTCAAGATGTTAGTCTGATATTTGTTATTGCAGATAGCGCTGGTTAAAAAACATCAAATGTCAGACAAGTCTGGAAAACACGTCATCCAATGAAATGCAAAATGTCAGTGTGAGAAAAGGCAAAGAGTTTTTTGCTTCCAATCAATACTAATGTCAGAATACAGCAGGACCATTTGTCTAGAATAGATGGAGATGTTGGACAGTGTTGAAACTTGGATAATATTCATGGAGATATAAATAGATCTATAGACAATAGAATGAGAAATAAAGGCAGCAAATACAACTGGTGCAGAACGCTTCAGTGTTTCAACAGCATGTCACACTAGACGCAGGATTTATTATTTATCCTCACTGTTAACACAAGTGATTTAAAAGCCTATTTGTTCGTGCTGGTTCCAGAGTTGGATCGTCCATGGATTATGTACATATTTATCCTTTTCAAACACTCTCAGCTCCGTCTGTCTGAGCACCATTGTCCCAGCCTTCGCCCTGCTGTGAGGGGAAGAATGGAGGGAAGTTCACACTTGAGTTTCAAACGTCTTCATTTCAGCGACACGTGCTGTCACTATGATGCTGGATACAAATGTTTTTAGTTTTTTTGCAACAATATGTCTGACCTACTTGGTAAAAAAATAAAGGAAGCTTAGTGGAAGAAGTCTCTCACTTGAAAGAAGATAAAGCAACAGAATGACCTTCCTTCACTGTGGAAAAAGGAAACAGGATTTACTGCACAATAGATCAAAGGGTTCAATCTTTTTGGAAATAATGGTCGTAGAAAATCCAACCAACAAGTTTGATACAAAGCTGTTGATGATGAACATGTGCATATGTTGTGTACTGTAAACATGACATGTTGTGTACATGTAAACGGTTTAGATGGGGGGGGCAGAGAGAAGTGTCTTTCTGAAGTCTTGTTGTCTGACAAATTAGGCTGCAGCAGTCTGTATTTGTTTCCAGTCTGTTTGCTCAGCTAAGCTAACTAGCTGTTGGCGTTAACCTTATCCTGGACCAATATACCCAGGTTTCCTATCAAATATAGATAATTGTAAACACATTTCCTAAATCTGCAAAAGAAAAATGTAAATGATGTATGATGCAAAATGATGTAAATGCAGGGCCGTCCCTGGCCAACTTGGGGCCCCAAGCGACTGATGTCGCGTTCACACCAAAAAGAGTACTTAGTGCCGGGAACTTTCACCCCCATTTGTAGTGCCTGCTAGAGAGGTGGGACCAAAAAAGTAGCAATTTCTATTGGCTGGGCGAATTGCAAAACACGTAAAACTCTGAAAAGTTTTTTGAAGCGGCCATTTTATTTGCTGGCATTAGCATTATTAGCATTAGCCCCGCGCACCAACGCAGAGAGATTAACTTATGGCAACACAAAAGAAAACATGCGAGCGGTGGAGTGATGAGGATGTGTCGGCGTTCTGGCGTTTACTCAACTTCGGGGACTTCCGGGTGGCAGTATACGCCGTGAAGTTGATTGCGGCCTGCCAGTAAACCCAGAGCAGAAAAAGAAGAAGTGACGTCAGCGGCTTCATTTGCGTAATCTTACCTCAGGGAAAAGTACTCCGGTGTGAACACGATTGGTACTTAATGCCCTGCGGTTATAAGTAAAGTACTTGGTGTGAAAGCGGCTATTGTGAGATGAGCCCCCCCACCGACAGGAGTGAAAACTATTTTTTTGGAAACAAAGTAGGCTACTTTGCAAATATAATTTCTGTTTATTATTATTATCAACACAGTTACTTTTTTATACAGTGAGGTAAATGGTAAATGTGCATGTATGTCGTTCAGTATGCATTTACAGGTGAATACGTCTGTATTTCCTGCCAAATACTAGCCTCAAAAAGATTAAAATATAATTAATGCAAATAAACTACTTCTACTAATAATCATAATCAATTCAATAATATAAATACTATATTATGTTATTATAATATAGTCAAGACAAAACATGCTTATGACATGCTCAAAAACTGATATTTCTTAAATCTGTATTCTAGTTCCCTCTGTCAGCAATGTATCAACAACTACATACACATTTCTATACTTCTCTGTGTTGTGGTTGACATGATGATGACTGTTAGGAGTTAAGGGGAGAGGCTGAGCGTCACCAGAAATGTGCAAATTGACATAAAAATGAATAAAAGGGGAAAAAATGCTCCATGTTTTTTAGGCTGTAAACTTGAACTGTTATGTAAGCCAACTAGACAGACAGTGTATCACTCTTCCTCCTGTACATTAGCAGATAAAAGGCATAACATACTTGAATGAATGGTAAATAAAGAATGCTGGAAATAACTGCATCTCCATTAGCCTATATGCTCTGCAGAGACTGCCTTCTTCATGTCGTGAATTGCAGCTGATGTTTTAATGGCAGTTGGGGGGTTGGGGGGTTGGGGGGTTGGGGGGTTGGGGGTGCGCGGAGAGCTGCAACAAGAGGACGTGATTAAAAGAGATGAACCTCAAATGGCAAAGACATGACAATAGACCTTCCTGATTGTTCTGTGTCTTGGTGTGAGGAAGGTGGATGTTAATTTCAAATTCTGTTTCCATAGAAATGGTTTGTCACATTTTGCCTTTTTTCCATTTCTAACGTTTCCACGTCAGCTAAGCATACACACTTGTTTGAGATATGTTAGTATCTTTGCACATTGTTGCATTTCCACTGAGGATTTTTTAAAGCGCAATACCAATAATCTACTAAATGCTCTTAACCGTTACTGGAAGGCTGTGACAGCTCTGAGCGGGATGAACATGCTCGGTGTGCTGAGGAGAGAAGTGAAGCTTGCATATCCCGAGGTTCAGGGTGTGACCATGAAGGCGCACCCGCAGCACACACTTGGCTGGATATGGCACAGATATCCAAAAGGAGAATGTGATAGTGTAACCCTGGAGCAGACTAGGTGTAGCCCACGGAAGATAAGTACAACGCTGCTGAAAAAAACAATCACAATGTCCTGCAAATAGAGGGCCAAAAGCTGTACGGCATGTCGGCCTGCCACTGTCGAGAACAGACGGATATGATCTGTGTGAAACTGTTGTTCTCATGACTCTGAAGGTATTCGGTTTCATGTGTTAAGCAACTCGGACCATTTTCTAATCTTCAATTGCAACTGCTGGACAGGAGGTCAACAGTGACCCAGATTCTGGCTGGACACTTTGACTTCATTTTACCTGCTGCTTTGATTCAGAACTACTCCCACTGTGTCAATACACAGCTTTGAACTTCAGGTGCATTCAAACTGTGCAGGATGGGCGAAATTCCACTGAGCACTCTCAGTCTGCCTGATGTGATCATGTCCGTTTCACTGCCCCCACCCTCTCTGTATGTGTACCCCTTGGTATCAACAGAGCGGGGGCTTTAAAGTGAAGACTTAAATGATCAACAGGAAAGGATCTGCAGAAAGTAGACCCACCACAGTCTGAGTGAGAGGGAACGTTTTTCATCACCTTCTGGAAATGTGAAAGTTTCTTAAGTGGTCTCGTCCGAACTGTCAGAACATGTCATTTCTCGCTGACTTTTGCCTCATTGTTACTCACAGCCCTGAACAAAGTGTTTCTCTTCCATTATTACCATAAAGTGAAGCACAGGGTATATGGGGGGGGGGGGGGGCATTTCTCCCACCAGTCAGTTTTCACTGAGACTTCTAATATTACAGCCAGAGGTGCACTGGATACAGCAGCCAAACAAAACAAACTTGAGTCACAACTGACACCGATGTTTTGAATACAAAAGTGTGTCCAACGTAGTCTCAAGGTGCAGTGATGAATCCATTTGACAGAAAACGTGTTAGAAACTCATCTGATGTTATTGAGGCATTTTCTAAGCAAATACACTTTATCTGGTGTGAGGAATTTCAAGTGTGAGTAGGCCTATGTGATGCTTTATTTGATACCTTCATTACGGTCATCATCTGTGATCCTTTCTGATGTTTAACAGACCACAATCATAAAAGCAAACAAATCATCAGTTTCATCGATTGTGTTCTTTTGTTCAATTTTCATACGTTTAATTTGGCATTAGGATTAATCTTTCAAACGTTAAATGATTAGTAATACAATCATTAAAATGATTGTATTGTGCTGAAATAGTGGAGGTAACATAAGTCATACATCTTTTGACTTTAAAAGCAAAGCAAACATTTTCCTCGTTTAACATTTACATTTAAATACTGAAAACACATTCAGAATCTCTTCTCCTGAGCTATTCCACCTAAAGTTGTTGCAGACACCAATACATTGAATATTGTAAAGCTATAAAGCCCTTTGCCTCACCTGGGGTGCACGAAGCTTTATTTGCTCTTAGGCAACACTACACATAATACTGCGCTCATGTGTTCTGAGAAAAAAGAACAATGAAATAACATGTATTTTTGTTTCTTAGAATTATTATAATCTTTGAAACGTTAAATCTTCTAAAAACATTTCCAGCCCGTGTTCCAAAAGCAGTGAAACATTCCCGGTCAGCCTACCTTAATGCTGCGGCTCAGCCTCTTCTTCGTGTGTTTGGGGCAGACTTTGTCCATGGTCGCGCTCTCGGTCTGTGTGCTCGCGCTCACTGACTGCTTCTTATGACTGCTGCTGGTGATGTAATTACTCTCTCTCCATGCGCAATTGTTTTGAAAGTTCTGAATTGAGAACAGACAGTCCTCGCGCTGATTGGCTGAGTCACGTTCGCGCAAGCGTGTGCAACACACCTGGGAGAGCAGTGACTCATGGAGAGATTAGACTGAGTCTTCTTCTCCATTCATTTAAAGTGCATGGTGTCAGTGTGAAGAGTTCGTATGGTTTCAGATGCCCTGCTCTCAGCAGCTCAACTGGCTTAATGCTTCATTAAGTTTGGAATGCGGCCCGCTAATGAGTGAAGGCCAGGGAGAGAGGACTCTTCGGGGGATAATTATATTATAAATAGTTATGATCTAAGGAGCGTTTTTGACTACTTCATGTGGTAACTTATCCAAGTTATTTTCCTCCATCTTTTTTCATCTTAATAAAAAATGTCATGTGGTAACTAATCCAAGTATCAACATTTAACATTAACGTGACCTTATTCATTTATGTTACTTTTGATTACCTCAATATAAAATAGTAAAATACTTCAATACAATGTTTTTGACCTAAGTGTATTATGTAAGAAATAGAACAAGGTGACCTTAGAAAAGAAGAAACCAAGATATTTAGGACCACAATTATTTTATTTATAGGAAAAGCTGCTTTTCATGAAGCACATTCAGGCAGGAGCCTATACACCAACACTGAGACACATGAGCACAGACTAGTTTAAAAAGCACAGCCACCGCTGTAATGCCGTAATGCCAATCTGAATAACCTATAACCAAGTACCTCGAAATAATGACTTTGTATCTAACTTGTTATTTTTTAGATACTATGAGTCAATATTTTTTAAACATTTAAAATTGATTCACGGATGTTTGTCATTATTTAGAGATGCTAATGATTTTGTTATGAGTCCAAGTTATCGTCTTATTTTTCTTTCTTTTACTGGCAGAAATGGGCTTCCAAATTCAAACTAAAAGACAGAACACCGCTAAAAAGGCTAAAACTACAACCCCTAATGTATGGATATAGGCTACTGTATGAATAGCACTGTCAATAATACCGTTTTAATAAATGCCAAATCTTTATCTTTAAATGTGTGTTGGCCTGCAAGTAGTCAGCTTTAAATGTATTTAATCAAACAATACTGGAAATACACAATATGCTTTTTCACTAGGAGATTCTGACCTGTTGTAGCGGGAAAAGCAAAGGTTTACTATAATAACATTAAAGATGGCTCTGTTCCTTTCAAGTGTCCCAGCAAATCCTGACAGTGCGACAATGATTCAGACAAAAATAACAGGACCCTTAAACTGAAGCTAAATGGAATTCAGCCATCACTAATTTCATTATTTACAACCTTTTTCTTTCGAGTGACAAGTGAAAATGCAAAAAGTTGATAAGTTGGTGGTTGATAACCCTATGAAGGCCATTTCGCAGAAGACTCTCATGCTTATGTCATGTCGTAAAGTCATGTATGAAAGGACCAGACACGGTGTTGTGTGGTCTGGATTTGTAGCAGCATCTCCTCTCAGTTCCTGAAACAACTTCCTTAAATGTCCTTTCCACTGAATGTGACGCACTGCCTCCAGGCTGTTTGTAGTATGTCTGAACCATAATAACATGTGCTTATTCTACGAACGTGACGCCACAGTCAAAGTCATAAATCACCATGATTTACAGAAACCTTTCAAAGTAAAATAAATAAAGTGATTGAGAGCGAACGTGCTGAGCTTTATGTTTCTACACCAATGACTGTTTTGAGGGATCACAATACATTATAAAGTAATATAGCAGCTCTTATGATGCACTGTGCAACTAAATACAATGTTGATATGGGTCATAAAGTCAAATATGATTCAATACACCAAAAGCTGAGTTCTCTATCACCGTTGCTAAATCCACGCAGATAACACCAGAGTATTGTGACGACAGACAACTTCCACTTACTCAAGATGTCTGGCAGCTGCATTGCATTATTGTCTACTTCGACTGTGACAACATGGAACAGTTCAGAACTGACGCTGGCTCTTTGTGACGGATGACCGATATTTTTGAAAGGATGTCGTCTTCCAACTCTGCCGAGCGGCACATCACTGAAGAAAGGTGTTCCAAAGACAATGAGAACATTGCACCAACCGAATATAAACAAATCATATAATTGAAACACAAGAGACATTGGAAAGAAATTGCAACATTTAGATATCATTAAACTTAATAATGTATATGGTGTTTCACTTACATTCATTGATCATGTAGACAGCTCGGAGTAGAAGAAACATTTGATCTTGTTTTTCAATGATAAAAAATGCTATCTTTGTCAATATCCAAGTGTTTTTAAAAATATGGTTTACATTGATTTGAAGTAGGTGAGTTTGAGGTACTTATCCACACTCACTGTTAGAACTGAAGCTGTTCTTTATTCTTCTAACCACCAGGCTCCATTGACAAAAACAGTCGTTTGGTTTTTCAGAAGACCTGGTCCTCCTGCATTCCGACTGTCACCTCCTGTATATGACTATCGAGTAGGACCTCATACAACCCCACTCCAAAAACACTTAGTCTGTCCCTTTAAGGTTGATTCCCCCCCCCCCCCCAAGTCTTGCAGCAGATGCAAATGCATTCCACAAATATAATTTGTTGCATGAAAGGACAATGGCTTGTAGAGCAGGGGATTTGAAGGATTCTGGACAACATGAGTTTTCATAACGTTCCATTACAACATCATGAAGAAGTGCAGTGTTCCTGTGACCTCAACTTCATCATAAATCTAAAAGCAAAACAAAAGCGTCTTGAAACTGAGGGAAAAAATACATATTGCAAACACATGGATGCTTATCTGGTAACTCAGCTACTTCAGCATCACCAGTTTAAGCTTTCCCTCATTTGGCTCCTTTCCCATCAAACGGAGGTGTTGGAGCTCTGCAGGAGGAACAGAGAAACCTTCTTGCAGTGTTGTAGTCAAGTCACCAATTCACGAGTCCAAGTCACTCTCGAGTCACCACTCTTCGAGTCTGAGTCACCAAGGGAGAGTCGTAGTCGAGTCCGAGTCCAAGTCTGAGTCACCTAAGAAGAGTCCAAGTCAAGTCTGAGTCACCTAAGAAGAGTCCAAGTCAAGTCTGAGTCACAAGTCTTCATGTATTAATCTTCGTGGATATATGTGTTGAAATGTAGCTGCTCCTCTACATTGCTTTTATCCTGTCATGTTATACTTACCTGTCTGTTGAACTGCAGTGAAGCCAGTTTGGCTAGATTTCTTGTAATAGGTGCTATACAAATATAAAGCTTATTACTAATATTAATATTATTATTATTATATATAAATAAACTATATTTAAAATGAGTTACCTTTTAGATAAGTGATTATATTTGTATGCCAATATTTTCCTATGGTAAAGTTTTCATTGTGCACTTTTATTTTTGATAGTAATAAGATCGGGACTCTTATTTTGAAGGAACTTTTACCGGTTAAATCGGTTTACTAATAAAGATTTAGCCCCAGAAAGCACATGGCTACTTAGCATGCTAAATGACGTCATTCTGCATGTTAAGTAGCCATGTGCTTTCGTGTTATCGGCTGAATCTTTATTTATTGATTAGATCACGTTACTCTGATGATAGTGTTCAACACAGCCTATATGTCTGAACTCGATCCTTAGAGTAATGTGTTACGGAGCCTTCTCTTCAATATTGTTTCCACATAACGAGCATTTTGCGCTGCTCTTTTCCAATGTGGAAGCAGAATGTGTGAAAGCATACAGCCATGCCCGGCGCCGTGGGAGGGCCAGGCCCATTTGACATTCCTGCCCTCCCCCAATAAACACGTGTTTTATTATTTATAAAAATTAAAAAATATAAATATTTTATTTTTTAAATTATAAATAAACTGTGAACTTTTATGCTACGATGTATGTGATGTCAGATAGTAACTAAAAAAAAATCGCAGGCTACGTCAAATAAATGCATGTGTCTGTTCAACACATCCTCACTCCCAGGTCGGCCTATGTTGACGTTATGTCAAGTCCCCTGTCGGCTTTTTCCAACGCAAGGGGGGGGGGGGCCTTAGCGTCCATTTTCAACGCAAGGGGGGGGGCCCTTAGCGTCCATTTTCAGCTTTCCGGGATGTCCATATGCTTCTATGGACGCTCATGGAAGCACGGCATTCGTTTGTGTCGACTGCCCTTAAAGGCAATGTGAGCGTCCATTCTCATTGGATATCGGAGAATTGTACACCCGGAAGTAAGTATTCCCCTTACTGTCGATTGATTTTACAGTGATATCTGCACTACTCATCGACTAAAAAACACCAGATTATCCTTGTTAATTACACAACATTGATTGGTTTAAATTGTGTGCAATGCTTTTGTATTTTCCCCCTTCGATTCGGAGAAACAAATGTTTTTTCGGAGTAAAGGATGGCAGAAGACACTACACTACCCAGAATCCCCAGCTATCGTTTGGACTACACCATGTGCTCTGTTTGACAAACCCCGTGATAGTCCTCAAGCTCTGTGATTGGAGAGTGTGCTCCGAGGGTTACGCCGAGCCTCGAACAGCACTTGAAATGGGATGGAACCACGTCAGACTGTCCAAAACTGGATTTGAACGGGACCACCGCGTCCCCCCTCCCCCACCCTGTCCCCAGAACTACAAATGCTGGCTATTCTGTTTCGCAACATGTTCTGTATCTATGGCACGTCTCTACTGGGAGTTGTAGTTTTAAAAGACGTTTTCGTATTTCCCATAATAAGAAGTTGCCAGTATTAAACTGTGTACATCCCTGGAGGTTTAGGGGATAGGAAACACTCACATTTAAAACATATAATTAATAAATGGGTGAAAATTGCTTGTGCCCATAATGGGCAGCATTAATATATATATACACACATGCCAGCTAAGGTCAGAAGAGCTTTATTTAACAGCTGGTCTTATGTTTGTGACCCCTGTTGTTAATTGATAACATTACATTACATTACATTAATTGATAAGCCTGAAACATGCACTTGTCAAGGTTCAGAGGCACATTTTGCAAATATGGCAGTAGCCATCGATCAGCTTAAGATAAGATATACTTTATTGATCTCAAGTTGGAACATTTGCGTTACATCAGCATGTGTAACAGTTAAATATGCAGTGGTGTTGATTTGTAAATCATTTAGTATAATCACACAAATTCTGTGTTTTATATTCAACAATTCTGTGTTCTTTATTTATTGATTGTTCAATACCTGACAAGGTCGGAGATGAAATATCTACATACATCTTATAAGAGTATAATACATTATGTATAATATCAGTTAAAATAAGTGCTTCAACATAGTTAACATTGCTGGAGGTATGCACAAATATTGATAGATGTCTTGTAATGCACTATTGAGGAACCTGCGACCCAAGTTTTTCATTCAATGCATAACTACACCATAGTTGTGTAGGCCTATATGATATGTCAAGAAACCTTAGAAAATCTTGAAAGGGATGTGCAAAATAGTCATTATATACAGTCTTTAATGAACTATTAGTAGAGAATAACGAGTAATGAATATACTTTATAGGGATCCTATTAATATCTAATAATACAAATAATGAAATTCAATAACATGCTGTAACCACTAGGTGTCCCTTTATATCAGGTGTGCACCTTTATGGTGTGAATACAGCCTATCTACCAATTGGATCAAATATAAAAGTCAGCCGAATTAGTGTTGATACTGCAAGGAGACGTATTGTGTGAAAAGAAATGTAAGATGTTGTTTAATGGCTGATATATTTATGATCCACGTCACGTTTTCAGTTCCTCATGTTTGTCTAGAAGTCTTCTCATCAGGGCTCTATAAATACAGAACTACGGCAGATATGTAATATTTAATGCAGCCGAACCGTGTATTACAATGCCGTTATGTGATGACTTTCAAAGAGAAAAGCAAGCACACTCGGAATAAAGTATTATTGTATTTTTTTTCAATGTTTTCGGTCTGTTTCCGTTATTTGTTAATGACGATGTGCTGTGAGATGTGAGACTGGAATTGCACAGGGGGACGTAGGCTATCTTTAGATGCGGATTTTGTTAAACTAATATGTTTTCGCTGTGGACCAACACTATACATTGACGGGGAAGGGGGTAGCAATAAAGATAACACCATTAAACAGTTACACAACATAACAGAAATAATATCGATAGCAGCGTCCCTAGCAACCACCTTGGTAACAATGAAAACGTTATGGACGCAATTTCCTGAAGTAATCTTCGTAATAACTAGCAAACTAAAGATCATGTACATCCACTGCACACATAATCTGAAATAACAACTCATATTTCTCGCATCAAATGACATCAAAACGCATTTTAATGGCCAAACTAACTTTAAAATAGGCATTTTCCATCGAGAATAAAACGAAGTTCGGCCATGTTTTTTTTTTCTTCAGGGAGAAATTTGAAGATCACGTGACGTCAAACAGAGCACATGGTGTAGTCCAAACGATAGCTGGGGATTCTGGGTAGTGTAGTGTCTTCTGCCATCCTTTACTCCGAAAACATATTTGTTTCTCCGAATCGAAGGGGAAAAATACAAAAGCATTGCACACAATTTAAACCAATCAATGTTGTGTAATTAACAAGGATAATCTGGTGTTTTTTAGTCGATGAGTAGTGCAGATATCACTGTAAAATCAATCGACAGTAAGGGGAATACTTACTTCCGGGTGTACAATTCTCCGTTATCCAATGGGAATGGACGCTCATATTGCCTTTAAGGGCAGCCGACACAAACGAATGCCGTGCTTCCATGAGCGTCTATAGAAGCATATGGACATCCCGGAAAGCTGAAAATGGACGCTAAGGGCCCCCCCCTTGCGTTGAAAATGGACGCTAAGGCCCCCCCCCTTGCGTTGGAAAAAGCCGACAGGGGACTTGACATAACGTCAACATAGGCCGACCTGGGAGTGAGGATGTGTTGGTCTGTTGTGATTTGTGATTCGTCCACATTTAGACCAATCACAGCGTCACACTCTGCCGCCTATTCTGGATTTGTTTATTGTGCATTCTGTAGACTCCCATTTCTGTTTGAATTACAAAATGGACATCAGAAATTGTCTTAAAAGGTCTAAGGATTTATTAAAACGAAATAGCGATGAAAGAACTGCAGCCGATGGTGCTGCTGGCGACCCTGCACCTGCCGTTGCAGCAGCACGCCTTAATGTCACAAGCTTGACCTCGGCAAACCCCGGGGCTGAGTTAGCGAGCCCAAGCCTTGACTCATCAAGGCGGCCGCCACCAACGCTGTCCTCCGAGGCACAGCTCCTTGTGCCCCTACCATCACCACCTGCGTTGCCACACCCTGTACCACACCCGCCAGCATCCTCCTCCTCCTCCGTGCCGGTGCCTCCACTACAGACGCTACCTTGCAGCACATCAACAGGTACTATTGGGCTAGCAACCGCTCAAAGACCAACAGCCCCAGATGATCTTGGGGTTAATAAACCCAAGCATGTGAAACTGGATCGATATCCAGGGAGATTGTTTTCAGGAAAGAAGGCACTTTTTCCGCTGCATGGTACAACAACAGACCATGGCTTGAAGATTCGTTAAAAGCCTTTTGTTTCCCCTGACACTTTAAAGTAAATACGTCTTCATCTGATGCGGCTTTTACTGTCAAAGGTTTTTGCGACTGGAAACACGCATTACAGACTGATAAAGGACTGCTAAGGCATGCCGCATCAAAAGAACACATTTCATGTGAGAGTTTGTGGAGAGGGAGACAGATACACGAGGAAACAAATAAGGAAATGAGTACTTTGGTGCAGATCAGCTGCACTGAGCCGTTATTACATGTCAGCTGTCGTTGATATTATAGCTTATTTAGCTGTCAACCAACTCCCTCTCAGAGGTGACCACGGTTCACTCCACAGCATGTCTGAGTGCAGTGCATAGGAAAATAAACCATGCCCAAGGCGGACTAAACAGTTAATCGTCTCCGTCTATTTCTCTCCGAGTGCAGCGATGAGGAAGCTGCCATCCTTAACCAGTGTGCCTTGCTCGTGATTTACCAGTGTTTGTGCTGCCACGCACACAATGTTTCAAAAGTGGTTTCTATGTTGCCCTTTATTTGTGTATGTATTTGTGATAAGTGTGCGTCTTTGCGCAATGCTGTTGGCCTTGCTGTTTGATATATATTGCGCCGCAGGCCCGCAGCACGTGACGGTTTTGTATGCCCTCCCATGAAAGTCATATGCCCTCCTTTTAGATTTGTTCTGGCGCCGGGTCTGCATACAGCACGATGCGGGGTGTGTCTCTAGACATATTAGACTGGAATAGCGGGGGCCCAGTACGTGAACTCGCCTCGCAGGTGCACACGCCAGGATAGAGGACATCAGACTCCAGAGAAAATTAGCTCGAGTCCGAGTCGGAGCGTCAATGTACAAGTCGAGTCCGAGTCATCGTGGGGGGGAAAATTCACGAGTCCGAGTCCAAGTCAGCGTACGCGATAATTCACGAGTCCGAGTCCAAGTCAGCGTACGCGATAATTCATGAGTCCAAGTCACGTCAATCAGTGCGCGAGTCCCGAAAATCGGCACTCGATTCCGACTCGAGTGCGAGTCCAGAACTGGAGTGCGAGTCCAGAACTGGAGTGCGAGTCCAGAACTGGAGTGCGAGTCCAGAACTGGAGTGCGAGTCCAGTCCAGAACTGGATGTGCGAGTCCAGAACTGGAGTGCGAGTCCAGTCCAGAACTGAGTGCGAGTCCAGAACTGGAGTGCGAGTCCAGAACTGGAGTGCGAGTCCAGAACTGGAGTGCGAGTCCAGTCCAGAACTGGAGTGCAAGTCCAGAACTCGAGTGCTCCATCTCTGCCTTCTTGTACCAAAACACTGGGCTTCAGGTGCGGCTACAGAACAAACAGGACTTTGGTGTCAGGTGACTCAAACAAAGAGAAGAGCTTTGCTTCAATTCATCAGCATGAACTGTACCAATACACTGCAGGCTTTTGATGTGAAAAAGTGAAATGAAGTAGACATTCTATATTTTAAAATCCCATTTAATTTGTGGATATGAAATCGGGAAGCAGTTTAAAACCTTAATCCAACATGCAGTGACCATAGAGACACAAAGATGTTCAAGGTGGAAGAATAAGATCAGACCGAGCTGGTGGCAGTTTGTGTTCACAGTGATTATTAGAACATCAAATCAGTCAAAAGAATCCTGTGAAGGTTTTTGTTTTGTTCTGACGCAGAACAGTCAAGCTTATAAAATAGACACGTTGAGATAGTTTGGAGGTTCAGATAGAAAGAAAATGTACAAAAGAGGAATAAGGTGGTGACAATAAAATAATAATAGTGTCCACAATTCACTTTGATTTATAAAAATAAATCAAGGTCATAAATGTAGCTTTGCAATGCTGATTTAGGAAAAGCTGAAGCGTCCATCCGTTTGATCAACGAGGAAAAGTCTTTAGTGTGATCCGGAGGAAACGTGTACCTTCAGGAAGAACTCCTCTCCACAGAGGCTCCTCGTACCAAAGCATACCAACACAGCTTTAGGTCTATCCACAACACATCTACACTGTCACTAAAATACAAAGCTGTAGAAAATACTGTCTTTGAATCCAGGTTGTTGGAGGCATACATTGTTCTATAAAAGAATGGGTCCGCTGGCACGTAAATGTCCGGGAATGCAGGTGGAGCACTGTATTGCCATCACTTCTAGATGCTTTCAAAGCAAACAATATTTAACAAAGAAACCATTTACCTTGCTATGCTGTAAAAAAAATGCAACTATATAAAAACTCCAAAAACAACTGTACAAAATAAAAGCATCAGACTCTTTCACCTGGTAAGGCACATTTCTATATTTCATGTATTCCTTATGAATAGTGTCCACCAGCCTGTAGTGTTGCTGTTCTTGGTAAAAACAAACAAAGAAGTATGTTTTAAGTTTTTACACGTAAGCGCCCAACGCTGCGTGGAACTCTGTGAGACACTGAACCAGCTGCTGGAACTTTGGCCTCTCCTCTGGATCCAGGGCCCAGCAGCAGGCCATCACAGCAAACCTGGGGGGAGAAAAGACACACAACACATTAGAAGGGAGAAAAGTACTCAGAGCTAGAACTTGAGTGAAAGTAAAAGTACTCAGGTCAGGTCGGGGACTTGAACCAGCGACCCTACGGCTCACAGTCCAAGCCTCTACTACTGACACTGCCGGACATCATGAAAGTGTTCTCAAAGCTGGTAAAGGTGCAGCTAGTTTGAATGGCTTTGTATACTGCAGGGTAGCTGGTGGATTTACTCCAGGTGGAACTAAAGTCTGATTTAACACTTGATTAGATTTTACATCATTCATCCACATCTGTGAAGTAACTAAAGGTATTAAATACATGTGTGTGTGTGTGTGTGTGTGCGTGTACGGATGCAGTGGGAGAGAGGGTGACTTATGTAAAAGTCGTAGCATTGTCACACTGAACACACAGCTACAGTAGTTGAGGCAGGAGCTGCCTGTACAGCGCTGATATTAGTGAGTGAGATATAATCACTGTTAATAAGGCAGGCCCTTAAAGCTTTTTATCGTGTAGACTATAATATTTTGGAAAAGGAAGCCGTGGCCTCACATCCATTGTATTTAGAAGGGAACCGTGTTCAGTTACGTCTAACAGAGGTCAGGTGATTATTCCCAGAGGTCTTTGTGGTTATATAACAATGTTCAGGGATTTGGCGGGTGCAACAGATCTTTTTGAACCCGTTGAAACACAGAAAGTGGGCACAGAGCTTATGTGATGTATTTGATGTCGGGAGCACAGAAATGAACTGACACTATTGGTAAAAAACTAAAACTGACAGGCTGTCGAGTCAGGAGAAAAACACGGACGGACGGACAGCATGCACATTAGTTAATAATTAACATTAGTACTAATAGTAATGAATGTATCCTGCATGTGTCCTGCACTGAATCTCTCAATGAATCCTCTGTGGTAGTTCCACTACACTAGATGAAAGTGTTTTAAACCTGACAGCTGTTCATAATGAATTCCAAAAGTTGAGGCTGTCAGTGTTTAGAATGCTAAACAATATCTTTATGTTTCCATTACCACCCCCCCCCCCCCCTTGAAGTTAGATGAGATGGGACGTGTTAAAACCAGTTAAGCGTCTGAGGGCTTCTTAACATTTAACAAACTATGAATGTGTCATACCCACTTAATGGGAAGAAACTCAGCTAACAGACAATATTAACCATTTTTAGCTAAACGAAACACGAGGGTAATAACAAAGGCTCTGAATTAGCCCTGAGCGAAATATTACTTATCGGATCTGCACAAACAAGACATCAATTAGCAAACTGAGATTCCACAGATTCCAGAAATATAAGTATCATCACTGAGCGATCAGAACTCCTGTCATGGGAAACAAAACCAGACATCACACCACGTAGCTGTACGGAGCAAACACAGCAATTTGTCTTACCTTTTGCTGTTTCTGATCAAAAGTTGAGTTCAATGGCATCAAAACGCTGCTGAAGGTTAATCCATAGGTTCATCCGATGTGTCTGTGTCACTTTGAAATGATTTCTGATCATCCATCATTCCATTTTTATGTCAATAACGGAGATTTCATATTAGCTGCTACGATAGCTACTAGAACAGGGGTCACCAACTTTTTTTAGGATGAGAGCAACTTTCACAATAAAACAAGTCGTGAGCTACTTTTACTCCTCTTTTTTTGTTTTTTTGCAGTGTATATATTGAGCACATTTTAACATTATTATATGCTTACCCTTAACCTTTGTGTGCTGTTTGGGTCTGCGGGACCCGTTTGCAGTGTTTACTAAAAGAACATGTATGCAATTAAATCATTTTAACCTGCTTTATTTGGTGGTGGACCTCACATCCTCTAGTGGGGTCCTCACATCCTCCTGGGGCATGCACCCCCGGGAAGATTTGTTTTTAATTGTTGAAGTTAAATGCATCAATCTGGTGCACTGAATGTATGGATACAGCTCTCAACACTCAGATGAAAGGGAGCTGTATACTTTTCAATAATCCAAACATCTTTAGAATATGATCACAACCAATAACAAATCATTTAACCTTGTTTATTTACCTAGTTAGCATTCTTTCTTTTTAGTTATGCATATTTTACTAATCACTCCCCTTTTACATTTTTCTACTGTGTCTCTCTCTCTCTCTCTCTCTCTCTCTCTCTCGTTTATGCACAGGGTAGATTCTTTTAATTACATTTCCTTTTGTGTATTTTTTACATTTTGGATTTGCTTGGCTATTTTTAGAAAATGCCCCGCGGGTGACTCACGTTGCCACTGCGGGCGACTAAGTGCCCGCGGGCACCGTGTTGGCTACCCCTGTACTAGAGTGTATGACAGCTTCCGGTTTTGGGCATGCTGGCTATGCATCACTCATTCACCAATGGGTAATGTTTAGATGGATTTTAGGAACTTCCCCTCTTCTATTGGCTCTAACGGTTAAAAAGAGATGTCAATCATCAAAATCGACCAAGGGGGGCCAGAGATATGGAAAATGCACCCAAATGACCCCAGAAGTGTTTTTTTTTGTCACTTATTTTGCATCATTCTTGATACAGGGTACTTATTATATGTTATAGTGTGTATTCCTAAATCTTTTAGTGTATTATCCCATCATTCAAGGGTGGTTTTCATTATACACTAAGTCATGTTTTTTCTTTAGACGGACACTAGAATTTACATTTTTTTACTGTGTTCAATCTGAATTTACTTTAAAATTAAAAAATCTATATTGATTCTGACTTTTCTGCATCCAACTCACAGGTTTATCATTACTTTGAGAAAAAAGATGATTAATTTAACCCTTTTAGAAGGGAAGTTATAGTCATTTGTTCTGGGAATGTCATTTTCAAGCCTGAGACCTGAAAAACAGGCTCAGGGCTCAACAGGTTTAAACTGTGTTCAATGGAGATGCGAGTGTGCATGTGTTTGTGCTCTGTAAATCAACCTACAGTTCATCTGGACAGTTGATGGGCTGTGCTATTCTGTAGCCGTCCTTCAGGTAGGCGGACATCTCGAAAGGGTCAATGTCCACGTAGGGGGTCTGACCCAGAGTCATCAGCTCCCACAAAGTCACTCCAAAGGCCCACTGTGAACACACACACACACACACACACACACACACACACACACACACACACACACACACACACACACACACACACACACACACACACACACAACACACCACACACACAAGCACACACACACACACACACACACACACACACCACACACACACACACACACACACACACACACACACACACACACACACACACAACACACACACACACAAACACACACACACACACACACACACACACACACACACGATCAACATTCGGAACAGTACTCAAATCAAATCAAGTTTTATTTATATAGCACGTGCTGTACATACAATTAAAATAGCCTACAGTAGAGACACTTTACAGCAAATACAACAGCACAGATTGTTCAGAATATCAGTATGAGAAAAACGACACCCTCTATCCTTAGACCCTCTGTCCTTAGACCCTCTGTCCTTAGACCCTCACATCGTACAAGGAAAAACTTCCAGAGAAAACCCACAGTTTAAAGGGAACATGGGAGAAACCTCAGGGAGAGCAACAGAGGAGGGATCCCTCTCCCAGGACAGACAGACGTGCAATAGATGCCGTGTGTAAATCCAAGAGATAATACATTTTACAGCATATAGACCGAATGTTAGGAAATGCATGTGTCTGTAATAAGAAGATGAATCCACGAGGATGTCAGCTACAATCCTGTGGAAGCCATCAGGGAAGCAGCATGACGATGGTTAGGAACATGATCAACACAAGCTGTTGTATCTGGTGTCAACATCAGACCCGATAAATATAATCAACATTTCCATCCAGGGTGCGGAAAGCCAACTTGCATTTAAACAGAAAAGTGTTTCACAGGAACAATGTGAGGAAATGATGAGTAAACAGTTGTGTTTGGGACAGTGTGAGGGTCCGACAGGGGTGTGCTGACCCTGCAAGCTGACCTCCAGGAGGAAACAAGCATGTCCATATCTGTGTGACTCTTTTATTGACCTACAGCCAAGGTCACACTGAAGAGCTAACAATAGGCTTTGACCCTGCACTTGTTATTTGGAATTTATGGAGTCTAGCTAATGACAAATGAAACTGGGCAGCTCTTGCTCTCTTGGCAGTGAATTATGAACAGAACATGATATGATCACTAAAGAGCAGCTTGCTGTTGTGTTAGTATGTCATAACCTTACATGCAGCCTTTAAAGGAAGTGAAGGGAGTGATTGAGGGCACAGCGATGGGGGGGCTCCTGAGAGGAAGAGCGTGATGTACAGTACCCACCCTGTTCCCTAAGTGCCACTGCCAACAACTCCAACACATCCTGACACTGGCATGAGGGTATGAAGTGTGTGTGTGTGTGTGTGTGTGTGTGTGTGTGTGTGTGTGTGTGTGTGTGTGTGTGTGTGTGTGTGTGTGTGTGTGAGTGAGTGAGTGTGTATGTGTGAGAGAGATGCTCTCATGATGCTACACAGTTCCAGCTACTTGTCTGGACTTTCTGGCAGCTGCTGTATCTCTGAGGAGCTTCCCGGTCCCAGTGCCACGCCCGTTCTGCTCCCGTGACACAGGAAGGTCACATGGTGCTCCACGCTGACTCCCTTCCCTCCAAACCTTGACCGAGCGTCTAAGAATGGCAATTGGTTCCATTTCCTGCATCACCCCCTCTATATCATTTCCCCTAAATGTAGTTATTAAAAACACCTCAACAGACAGGAAAGGATTACAGGACGCACCAATCAGGAACAGGCTAAGGGGCGGAGACTGTCAGTGCCCCCCTGACCTGAATTATTACATCATCACTCAAAGAGAGATTACCTGACCAGGAAGAACTTCAAAATGACCACAAAGAAACATACAACAAATTCAAAGACAAGCAAAGAAACACTAAATAATAACAGGGCAAAGCAACTAACACAAAAATGACTAAAAAGTGACATATCTGTGTCTACAGAGACACAAAACAACAAAGAAGATGTGTAATAACTAGGGCTGGGAACCATAACACATTAAAAAATAAAATAACACAAATGAATGAAATCACCAAGTTCTCGCACAACCCAGAGCTGTTTCCCATGAACTGCATGGCAGTGAAAGACAAGGAAAGCAGAGGAATCCACAAACATGTATTTCACTGACTGGAGAGCTGGGCGTCAGTCCGAACCATCACTTCCTCACTGTCACACACACCTGCCTCAAACTTAACAGTGATGCAACTGAGGTTCTCCTCATTGGAACCCCATTCCTGACAGTTTCTCCATTTCCATCGACAACTCCTCTCACCCTCCCCTCAAGTTAAGAGTCTGGGTGTCATCCTCGACAGCACACTTCCTTCAAAACTCACATCAGTGATGTCCTTCGGTCTGCTTATTTCCATATTGGGAACATCAAACGCCTCCGCTCCCCCCCTCACACCGAACAGCACTGCCATCCGTGTTCACACCCTGGTCCCTCAACACATCGAATATTGCAGCTCTCTTCTCTTTGGTCTCCCTCTCAAGTCCATCCACAAACTCCCCCCCCCCACCATCACTCCTGTTCTTTAGCTTCACTGGCTGCCTGTCAGATACCGTATCATTTTAAGATTCTGCTCCTCACCTTTAAGTCTGTCCACAGCCTCAATCCTCTGTACCTCTCCGACCTCCTGCACATCAACACATCCCCCCGCACTCTCAGGTCTACTGCTTCCCTCCACCTCACTGCACCACCTTTCAGTTTAACCACCATGGGGTCCAGAGACTTTAGCCGCGCTGCACCCCCCCTCTGGAACTCCCTCCCACCGGACATCCGGAATATTGACCCTCTCTCCATTTTTCAATCAAGTCTCCAAACGTATCTCTTCATGGCATATCCAGCCGGATCACATGACACATCCTCTGTTTTTAATGATGATATACTCCATTGTCTTGTTTGTATTTATCTGCTGGTGTTTTGTGTTTTTCTGTGTTTTGTATCTTGTACTGCGACCATGAGAGCCTTGAAAGGCGCCTATATGAATAAAATGCATTATTATTGTCCACAGATGAAGTGCTCACAGTAAAGTGTGTGTGTGTCAGGCCTTACCACATCACTGGCACTGGAGAAGTCGTTGTTGAGCAGGCTCTCCAGGGCCATCCAGCGCACCGGCCGGTTCTCATTGTCCCCCAGACAGTGGTAATCCATGGGAAACAGGTCTCGGGCAAGGGCATTGTCTGTTATCTTCACCTGCATGTTGTCGTCAATGCTGTGGGTGGGGGGGGGGGGAGAGAGAAAAAGTGGCGTCTTTATTTTTAGCAATTAAATTCCAATCCAAATCACCTGAAAGCTGAAGGGAAGCACTTAGCTCTGTGCCAGGCGGGGACACTTACACACAGTTCCTGGCAGCGAGGTCTTTGTGTATGACCTCCCTGCGAGAGAGGTAACTCATTCCACATGCAATCTGGATGGCCATGTAAACCAGGTCCTGTTGAGAGATCGCCTGAGAGGAAATGGGGGAGAGACACAGACAATGTGCAGTTGAGAAGTAGCAACAGGAAATACACTAAAAGGGGGGAGAGGGGACAGGAGACTAAAGCTGACGTGACTTTAAAGGTCCCATGACATGCTTTTCTGGTTATTACCCGTCCCCTTGTGTTATGTAGCTTTCTCTGCATGTGAACGGTCTGCAGAGTCACAAACCCTCAAAGTACACCCTGTAGCGAGTAAAACTCTAACACAGAAAAGACCTGTCTATGCTGCCCCAGAACGCCTAATTGGAGATACTTATTTTTCCATTTGTTTCTTCCGGGAACCAAGTGACGTAACGACGACCCCATGGACCAATTGGTCCAAATGGACCAATCTGCGGAGCCGTTACGTTTCCGCAGATTTCTCAGCCTGAGACGGCAGGTCGCAGTGAGGCTGTGTGTAAGCACACACAGCCTCACAGTCAGGCACCGGGTGTGTGTGTGTGTGCTCGGGCTGGTTTCAGGCTGGGTTTTGCTGTGTCTCGCGGACCCGGAAACCACACCAGTAACCCAGCTCACACTGTCCGCTCCTCACAGCAGCGAGCCCCGCAACATCCCGCCAACACGGCACCCAGACCCCACGCAGCTTTCTCATCTGTTTGTCATTACTGGTGTCATTTCCTGGTTGCTAACAAACGCCATTGTAACACATAAACACTGATGTTCCGCTGTAACAGTGGTGGACTCAACAGAACAGAGTGGACGAGCTGACCAATCAGAGCACAGTGGGCTCACAGGGGGGGGGGCAGGAGCTCCAACAAGCCGTGTAGGACAGAGAGTGAATACACAGACTCTACAGAGATGCTGTGAGAAACCAAGGTGAGTTTGGAACATTGAACAATGTAAATCTATTCTAGTAGACCTCAACAATGGAATTATGATCAGTAGAAATGGCCATGACATGGGACCTTTAATGTGCTGAAATTGGTCTTCTGTGTCAAATTGTTCTAATCAGCAAAGATGTTCTCTGTGTTTTATGACAGGGTAAGGTTATGAAATTAAACGCATGACTCGTTTAAACTGACTCTGATGTCTATGTGTTCAGCCAAAGACATGGCTCTAAGGATGGTCTTATTGGTGTGTTGGTCCCTTGCCCCTGGTTAATTAATGGATCGACATGACTTACAATATTCATTGTAGCAAAAATACTTTTCCTCTAGAGCAGGGGTTTTCGAAGTGTGGGAAGGTGAGCCTCCCCTCAGAGAACATAAGAACAGCCGCACCCCCCCTCCCAATTATTATTGCTATTATTATTATTATTATTGTTGTTGTTGCTATAATGCAGGGGCATTCAATTGCATTTCAAAGAGGTCTAGTAAAAGAAAATGTCATTAAATGCTCTGTTTTCGCTGTCTATCTTTCTCTATTTTGAGCACGCCATTTGAAATGACTCCGACTGTTTCTCTCTTCTTGTCTCGTCTCTGTGTGTGTTTGAATCTATCGTGCTGAGTCCCAGTCCTCTCTGATGTTACACTGTAACCTGACTGTGAGACAGAGTCCAACCACACACTCTGTCTGTCCAACACATGTCCTGCAACACACATGCTGCAGCTGCCCAGCTACTCACTGTTTGGAAAAGTAAATGAATAGTTAAGTTAATAATTTACTTTCTATACCCTGCTTCATAAACAATACTGACATCCCTGTGCTCCTCCGAGTCTGGGGGTCCGGGGATGTGAGGACAGCGCGAGGACAGACAGACAGGCTGCTTTACTTCATAAAGGAAATGGCGGTCCATATTAACAACACAGGAGCTAAAATGCTTAATAACCTTCATTACGTGTTCGAGAAAGAACATAAGAAAGGCTGTTAAACGGGCAGCGGAACCGCTGTGTGGAGAGAGAGAGAGAGAGAGAGAGAGAGAGAGAGAGAGAGAGAGAGAGAGAGAGAGCTAAAGAAGG